TCGTGGTCCTTTGCCGCAAGCTGGACCCCATTTATTGGAAGCTACTTGGGTGTGGGTCAAAATTAAGCCCCCAGTGAACCGCAGAATTTAGTCTTTGGTTCCATTGAGAATCGAACCCCCAAAAGAACGATAGTTCCATTTACCAAGGCGGCCATGGTACATATATTTGACCCCATATTGGTGGCCCCTCCAAAAGTGCTGAATGCCCGCCCCAACGACCCGTTAGAAGAATGGAAACCCAATTTCCAAATCCAAAAAGAAACATCGTGGTCCTTTGACGCAAGCTGGACCCCATTTATTGAAAGCTACTTGGGTGTGGGTCAAAATTAAGCCTCCAGTGAACCGCAGAATTTAGTCTTTGGTTCCATTAAGAATCGAACCCCCAAAAGAACGACAGTTCCATTTACCAAGGCGGCCATGGTACATACCTGGACATTCTTGTGGTACACAATTTTCGCCGCTTCATGAAACAGCGAAATAAAACAGCACTTTGCGCAAAATTGGGCGGTTTCTTCAAGAATTGCCGCTTCAGAAAAGCCACATGGAAAACCGCCGGTTCAAGCGTACATTAACCTCTCGGTTTTGCCCTTCATCTCTGCTCTGGCTCCTACTTTGCCCGCAGCGGCTTTCGGCTGGCCTGGGCCTTGGCTCGATACCTCCGGTGAAGGGCTCGAGCTTTCACGAGGTAGAGTTGCAACACCCGCTTCAACAATTGCTTTTGATCTTGAAATCTTGCCTTCGTTTTGCTCACAGCTGTGTATGAGCGGGTTTGCTATTTTGATGGCACCTTGCCTCAGGACAGCTTTGATTTCAACAAGTGTGTGCACTTGTGGCTTCATGGCCGACCCTGCAAATTTGAGTTCCCGAAGAGCGACACCTGCCAGTCGCGCATAAGGCTGCTGGAACTTGCAGCGCAGGCTCGGTCTGACCAAAGCCCATGCTGATATATAGAGCACTTGCGGGAATTTAACAGCAATCTCGCTTCCACGGCGCATCATGCGCAAGAGTGGGTGATCAAGTGCTGCTTGAATAAAGCCGCCAATGATGGCAACCAACCATTCCAAAGTGAGCATAAAGAGCCCTGGACATTAAACTTATCTAAATCCAAGAGTCATGCTAAGGGGTGGTTCTGGTGACTTGGAATGTAGGGGTACGGTTGCACGGGTACGGTTGCTGGTGCGGTGGGTACGGTCTGCTGGTGCGATCGGTACGGTTGCTGGTGCGATGGGTGCGGTCTGACGGTGCGACGGGTACGGTCTGCGGGTGCGATGGGCACGGGCTGTTGGTGCGATGGGTACGGTCTGCGGGTGCGATTGGTACAGTCTGCGGGTGCGATGGGCACTGCTTGTGTGATTGGTGCGTTTTGCTGGCACGATGAGTACGGTCTGCTGCTGCGATAGGCACGGTTTGGTGGTGCAATAGCATGGCGCTGGTAGGATGGGTGCGCTCTGACGGTGCGATGGGTACGGTCTGCTGGTGCGACGGGTGCGATGAGTACTGTCTGCGAGTGTGATGGGTACGCTTGTGGGATGGGTGCGGTCTGTACTGGTGCAATAGGTACAGTCTGGGGGCGGTCCGCTGGTGCGATGCGTACGGTTTGCTGGTGCGACAAACGCGGTCTGCCGGTGCGACGGTACCGTCTGGTGGTGCATTGGTTCGATCTGATGGGTGTGGTTTGCTGGTGCGATGGGTACGGTCTGCTGGCACGATGGGTGCGGAGGTTTGCCGGTGAGAGGGTTGCGGTCCTGGTGCGATGGGTATGATCTGCCGGTGTGATGGGTGTGGACTGCTGTTGTGTTGGTCTGCTTTAATGTGGTTTGACCTCATTCAGGATTGCCCAGTGTTTTTTGTCAAATATTCGGAGGGGGTGGGGGAGAGGGCTTGGGGCGGAGTTTTTTTGAAAGCGCAATCAAGTTCCAGGAAAACACAACTGGGACTGTATCCTTTTTGCTATAGAGTCAACTTTAGAACTTTAGAGAGCACCACCAATTTCCACAAAAGCATTGTCCAATACCAATTTCCAAGAAAACATCACCAAGTTCGAGGTAGCCAGGGACCGTGCCGTTCCTGTCAAAAACATACCACCAATTTCAAAGAAACCGCCACCAATTTCGAGGAAACCACCCCCAAATTCCAGGGAAATGCCACTAATTTCGAGCAAAACACCGCCAATTTCAAGTTAGCGTAGCTTGTTGCCGAGACAACAACACGAATCATTCTCAGGAAAGCGCCACACATCTCCAGGACAACGCGACCAGTTTCCAGGAAAACACCACACATTTCCAGAAAGCTTCGCACCCTGGGACCGTACCTTTAGTTTATCGAAAGATGACAAAGACACGCTTCCACACAAAAATCCAACCGTGCTCCCACACCGTACCAACCGTACCCCCGTACCGTACCAGCCGTACCCCCATACCGTACCAACCGTACCCCCGTGCCGTACCAACAAGTTGGTTGTGTTTTTCCGAGAATTGGTTGTGTTTTCCTAGGAATTGGTTGTGTTTTCCTGGAATCGGTTGTGTTTTTTTGGTGAAAAAAGGTACGGTTTTTGGGGTACGGTTGGTACGGTTTTTGGGGTACGGTTGGTACGGTACGGGCGTACGGTTGGTACGGTTGTTGGGGCACGGTTGGTACGGTACGGGCGTACCGTTGGTACAGTACGGGGATACGGGGTACAGTGCGGGGGTGTGGTTTGCACGGTACGCGAAATTGGTAGTTTTGTCCTGAAAGTTGGTGGTTTCTGGAAATTGGGTGCTTTTCTTTTTGTATGTACTTCGAAATTGGTTGTGTTTCTTTGGAAATTCGTAATGTTGTCCTGAAAGTTGGTGGTGTTTTCCTGGAAATTGGTTTTGTTTGCCTGGAAATTGGTGGAGGGTACGGTCCCGTTTTCTTGGACATGTCTGGTGCTTTCCTAGAGTGTGATCACGAAACAAGATTGGTGGTGTTTTTCTTGAAATTGGTGGTGTTGACCTGAAAAATTGGTGCGGTGCTGGGGGTACGGTTGGTACGGGCCTAGGCCTGGCTGGGGTGCTTTTTCTTGAAATTTGTGATTGTTTTTTTCTCGAAAAAAGAGTGGTCCGGAGGGTGTACCTCAAAATTGGCGGTGTTTTCCTAGGAATTGGTGGTGGTTTCCTCGAAATCGGTGGCGTTTTCCTGGAAATTGGTGGTGTTGTTTCTCGAAAAACGGGTACGGTCCCAGGGTGTACCTTGAAATTGGTGGTGTTTTCTAGGAATTAGTGGTGTTTTCCTGGAAATTGGTGGTGTTTTCCTGGAATTTGGTGGTGTTTTTTCTCGAAAAACGGGTACGGTCCCAGGGTGTACCTTGAAATTGGTGGTGTGAACCAAGGAATTGGTGGTGTTTTCCTGGAAATTGGTGTGTTTTCCTGGAAATGTGTGGTGTGAAACCCAAAAAACGGGTACAGTCCCAGGGTGTACCTCAAAATTGGTGGTGTTTTTCTAGGAATTGGTAGTGTTTTCCTGGAAATTGGTGGTGTTTTTTCTGGAAATTGGCGGTGTTTTTCTCGAAAAACGGATACGGTCCTAGGGTGTACCTCGAAATTTGTGGTGTTTTTCTAGGAATTGGTAGTGCTTTCCTGGAAATTGGTGGAGTTTTCCTGGATTTTTGTGTTTTTTCTCAAGAATGGGTACGTACGGTCCCCCGGGTGTACCTCGAAAGTTGTGGTTTTCCTAGACATTGGTGGAGTTTTCTTGGGAAAATTCTGTTTTCTTTGGAATTGATGGTGTTTTCCAGTGGTGATGTTTGTCTGGAAATTTGTGGTGTTTTTTTCTCGAGGAAAGGGGTCCATCCCAGCTTGAAACTAGCGGTGTTTTCCTGGACATTAATTGTGTTGGTACAGTACAATCATGGTGTTATTTTTGCAGTTGCAGCGTTTTCCTCCTTTGTGGTGCAATTGGTGCTGTTTTCCCGGAGGTTGGTGATGTATTCCTGGTAGTGTGTTTTCTCGTCCTTGGGTCCATCACGACTTTAGTGCTGACCCCCCTCTCAGAACTCCCCTCAGAACTTGCGCTCCCAATGTCACAATACGATTCTTTCTCTGGCACTTTGCAAAGGGGCTTTCGTGGCCAAGAAAACGAAAGAACAAACATAGTATACATAGCTACCTGATACTTGGCCCTATCGGGGATTTTTACAATATATTCTCTTTGAAAGGGAGCTTCAAGGAGACGCGAAACAATTGTCAATTATTTGATGGTTGGCCCTATTGCTTCCCGTGCAGTTTCTCATTCGGCTTCGGGGGACTCAAGTAGGGGTTTTTGGTGCCTCCCCTCAGGATTCTATTACTGACCCCCCTATTACGTGCTGACGGTATAGTACTGTCTCAGAAATTGAGTACTGATTTCCCCTTCAAAAAGAAATTGAGTGTCTCAAAATGGAGTACTCACCCCAGAAATTGAGTACGGAAATCCGTTGTCCCCACAGTCCCCAAAATTGATCTGCACAAGTTCCCTGAGGAATAGTAAGGCCACCTCACACCCTGCTTTGAAGTGACCCAGCTGAGACATGGGCCCGCGTGATGGCTGAGTATCACAAGTTTGTGTTTGTTGTGTTTGTTGTGTTTGCCCATTTCGCTTCTCCCCTCGCCTTGTGCGCCATCTGAATCGAAGGATAGCTATCCATAGTTTAATGTCCAGGGCTCTGAGGCTCTGATGTTATGCTTGCTTTGGAATGGTTGGCTGCCATCATTGGCGGCTTTATTCGAGCGCCACTTGATCACCCACTCTTGCGCACGATGCGCCGTGGAAGCGAGATTGCTGTTAAATTCCCTCAAGTGCTCTATATCAGCATGGGCTTTGGTCAGACCAAGCCTGCGCTGCACGCAGGCTATGAGTTCCAGCAGACTTACGCGCAACTGGCAGGTGTCGCTCTTCGGGAACTCAATTTTGCAGGGTGGGCCATGAAGCCACAAGTGCATTCTTTCAACCACACACTTGTTGAAATCAAAGCTGTCCTGAGGCAAGGTGCCATCAAAATAGCAAACCCGCTCATACACAGCTGTGAGCAAAACGAAGACCTAGTTGGCAAGATTTCAAGATCAAAAGCAATTGTTGAAGCGGGTGTTGCAACTCTACCTCGTGCAAGCTCGAGCCCTTCACCGGAGGTATCGAGCCAAGGCCCAGGCCAGCCAAAAGCTGCTGCGTCGCCAGTACGAGCCAGAGCAGCGATGAAGGGCAAAACCGAGAGGCGAATGTACGCTTGAACAAGCGGCAATTCTTGAAGAAACCGCCCAATTTTGTGCAAGCAAGGCTCTGTTTTATTTCGCAGTTTCACGCAGTGGCAAAAATTATGGTCCATGGCCACTCGGCCACGTACCTGTAGTGCTAGGAGCGAAAAAGGGCAGGAGGGTGGGAGAGGCGCATGCAGGGACGGAAATGATGCCGTCAACAGGAACGGGCCCGGGCCATGACAACTGAGAGCATGCGATGTGACATGGCACGCCCGGCGCTTCCCAATCAAGAATCGCCGCTTCCCTGACAAGATCGCCGTTCCAAAGCAACACCTACTTGTGCTTAAACAGGCGGTTTTTTTGCACCCTTTGGAAGGTGGAGGTATATTTGAACCCATATTGGTGGCCCCTCCAAAAGTGCTGAATGCCCGCCCCAACGACCCGTTAGAAGAATGGAAACCCAATTTCCAAATCCAAAAAGAAACATCGTGGTCCTTTGACGCAAGCTGGACCCCATGTATTGGAAGCTACCTGGGTGTGGGTCAAAATTAAGCCCCCAGAAAAGCCGCAGATTCTAGCCTTTGCTTCCATTTACCAAGGTTCCATGTTGGGGATCGAATCCCTTTTTGACCCACAGCCATTTAGGGCCGCCTTCGAAGAATTGGAAGCTTGGGGAATCCCTATTTTCCATTCTGGGGTTCGAAGCCCCTTTTTTGACCCACCGCCTATGCATTTGGTGAATCCCCTTTTATGACCCACAGCCTGGTATCGAAAACCTTCGAATGGCATGGAAAACCGTGGAAAACCACTCGAAACCCCGCCGCGTCCTTCATCTTCTCGGGGCCCATGGCCACCATCACGGCGAACTCCGTGATCTCCGCGCCCCCGCAGAACCTGCGAGGTGCGTCGCTCGCGAGGCGCGCGTCGCGCGAGGCGCGCAGGCGCAAGGGGCTTCGAGCCATTGACGCGTGCCCGAGAAAAAGACACCCGAAAACCCGGACAGGGAGCCGGAGGCCTGCACCGATGGAACATTGCAACTGGTCTATTTAGGTGGTGTCCAACTTTCTTTTGGGATTGAAAAAACAACATGTAACTCAAATGGGTGCAAAATGGAGACCTTTTAAGGAGCCCTGCCGAATGGGCAAACCCAAAGATAGGCATCGTGGTCGTCAAGGGCCCCCCCAATAAACCCCCCAAGCCCAACATATAGGCTAGGTCCTCCAGTGGAGAGGTTGTCATAAGGGTAACCCCCATTTTTCTGTAGCCTTTTTTTAACCCTTGCCCGAAAAAAGTTGGTAAAAGGGCACTACTGAAAGACCTAGCATCAAACCCAAAATAAGGATGACAGCAGTTGCCCGCTCGATCACCGTACATCTGCCAGCTGGTGCCAACAGACGATAAAGCGCCCTGCCACCCCAAACTCATAGGTGTCTATTAGATACCCCCCTACAGACCCCCCCTTTTCTGGGTGACTTTGATTGAAATCAGCGTAGACTGAACAAGCAACTAGGCAACCGCAACCACACAGAACATACAGAGCCACACAGAGATGACCAGTAAAAGAAAGATTGACCAAACTTGGATGATGACAATGCTTAGTAAGGCAAATGGTGGTTATATGAGCCCCCAGGTTTCAATGGTGGTTTTTGAATCTCAGGGAGCCACCCCACAGGCGCCGGTGGTTTTGGTCAAGGCACATGGCGCCCTTGCCGGTGACCACGATGGCCTTTACCTTCGGATCCTGCACCTCGACGGTTTTCGGTTTTCGAGGGAAACCACCGTGGGTCTGCCTGGGGTCATTATTTTGACTGTTTCTGGAGGTTACCAAAGTCAGAAAATGGAATCGGTTGTTTCTCTTTAACCCACCACTGCGGGGGTGACTTTGATCATGGTAAAATAATGAAGCTAGTCTGCTCCCCTACTAAGACTTTTACTTTTAGTGGTTTAATGGAAAACCCTTTGGTTGGCAACAAGTTGTTCAGTCCAAACGTCCAAGCAAAATGCAACAAAGTTGCTTGAGGCTTCATTTCCCCACAAAGGCTCCCCAGGCAAACTTGGATACCCCCAGCGAAACTTTCCAAACGCCTCCCTGACCAACAAAATGTTGGCATCCTTTTGGTTTCCCAGTAGAAAACCGTTTCCTTCCAGAGCTTCCCTTTAAGACCACTCCAAAACCTTTCTCCCTCCCTTACCACCACCCCAGCACCCCCAACCGCTTTTTCCAATCAAACCCAAATCCCCAAGTGTCCCAAATCCCCAAGTGTCCATTTCCAACTAACCCAAAATCCGCTTTCCATGTTTGTTAAGTGTCCAAAAAGATAGTTTTGAGTTCCGGGTGGCCCAGTTCTCAGCTTGAAAGAACAGACGTCCGCGTGTGTTGCCCGCGCGTTTGGGCTGAAGCGCCAGCTTCGGGAACTCCTGCTTGAAGGAGGTCACCAGCTCCGTGCCTGAGAACAACAAAAACAAGACGCGCGCGCGAAATCGGGGGACCAAGACTTGGCGACCGAAACGGGTGGGTACACACCCGGGCGACCTTTTTGTCCCCTTCAAACATGACCACGATCAAACAAATCACTTTAAGTTGGCCAAACAGGTGATGTTTAAAACCACTAAAGGATCCAAAAGGGCAAATGTCCATTAAACCACTAAAGTTGCCAAAAGGATACAACAAAAAGGACAACTCTTCTGGCAAACCTGATGCATGTGCAAAGGGTTGGACTGAGGAGTCCGCCGTTTCGATCAATCATCCTCATCCCTAAAATAATCGAGGTCCCCCGAATAATCGAAACAAAAGTCATTTCCAGAACCCCAAATTCCTGAAGACTAAATTGGACTCGACCAATACTAAACCAAATCTAAACTATCAACATGTCCCACCAGGTAGAACCCCAGTTGTAACTTTCGGGGCCCCCTTCAAGGCTTTGTTCAGAAGTCGCCCTTTCTTGGCGGGTCGACCTCCCTACATTTTGAAAGCACCCGGTTCTTCACTCTCAAAACCGGGGCCCTCATGAAAAATACTTGTTCCTCAGGAAGTGTTGTTTTTGATTAGGGTATATGTATAATTATTACTATTTTTATTAGTATTCGTACTAGTAGTATTATTCGTATGATTATTATTATTACTATTATTATTACTATTATTATTATTTCTTTCTTTTTTAACTCTTTTGGGGTGTATTTTGATGCATGAGATAAAGAGAAAACCAAGAGGTCCCTGCAGGATCCACGTCCAGTAGCCCGCAGCCCAACCATTGCACTTTGGCGAGATTTTCAGACATGCATGGTTGAAAAGGTGGGGGGGGGGTGCTGGGCTTCGATTTTGTTTTGCCCTCGGGTTTTCGCGCGGAAAAAAAAGGCACCGCGACACGACGCGTGTCGCCTAGGGAGTTCACTGGCGGGCTGTCCAGGGTGATGACCCCAACACCATCTGGGCGCACGCTGATGGTCGCGGGCATCGCTCGATTTCGGTCGATGCGTTCGACGGGCTTCGGACCCGAGCTCGAGACTTCAAAATGGCTGGCGAAGGGCGGAGACATGGCGATACGTTGATGTCCCGATTGAACATCTGCAAAAGGAAACGCAGTTTGAACTGTCTGCGGTGATGTTTAGAACCAAGGAGAAGCATGGGGAGCCCTGAACTAGCAGCGGTGTTTTGCAAAAAAATGGATTCCGCTGGTTCATGACTAGAACGCTGAAGGCAACTGCCCCGAACAGGCCGATTGGGAGTGGCTGAAGAAAACAACCCGGTGGTTTCGAACTGGCAAAACAGCCGTGGTCGTCAAGGGCCGCTCAAGAGGCCCCCCCCAAGCCGAACAAGGGGTGAAATGCGCCACTACAGCCCTTTGGGGCTGATCATGGGGTTCCTTTCCAATGCCTCTCGTTTGTGCCCTCATTCTGGGGGCCCTAGTCCGCGTAGTTTTGTGCTCTGCGCTGCTCACCCGCTTCACAAATGTTGAGTCCGTCGGTTCGTCTGGCGTTGGAGTTTTGCTTTCTTTCAAGGCTCAGGTGGCTTCCAAAGAAGCTGCCAGAGGTTCAAAAACCAAATTGAGCCGCTGAATGGGAAAACCCGGACAGAAGCAAGCCTGAGTATCTAGTGACAAATACAGGGCAGTTCAGATATATTTCTGAATTGACCCACTCGTGGCACCGACAACCTGAAACTGTTTTAGCACCTGAGTGACTGCTCCTTCTCCATCTTCTCCCGCAGCTGCTCGGCATCTTGCAGCTGTTGTTTCAGCTGATCTGTGTCCGAGACGCGCTGCTGCTGCCGGCCTGAGCACGCGAATCCCGAACCGGTTCCCGCCGCATCTGGCAAAGGCCAATGTGCGAGAAAAAACCGGGTGCGATCGGACCAAAAGCCAGGGTGCCCATGTGTTACTCTTAAGGGAAACTACATGGCGAGCCAGGTTTCTTTTCAAAACCCTGCTGACCCGGGTGCTGGAAGCCCGGCTTCAGCACCCGATTGGGCTGTCGCGCTCTGAGTTCTCCACTGTCAGACTGCGCCTCCAGCATTTCCTTGAGCCTCGCAAGGTTTTCAGCAGCGCACGGCTTTTGGCGGGGATTCCATTTGCTTAAGCCCCCTGGGAAAAACCAACAGGGGAAAATGAAAAAGAAATCTTAAACAAATGGAAGGGGAGGTAGTGATCATGGATTCAAAGAACTGAGCTCCTTTTTTATTCCTTTTCACCACACAAAGCATGGCATAGCTCCCTAGACCTTCCTAGGCCTGCATGGCCTTGCCAACTTCTGGCTGACCTTGCCTCTGGCAAATTTAACTCGAATGGGGACTGAGCTCCTTGTGGAAAACGACGCATCATCCCCCGGGGATGTTTCCTAAATTGCGCACCCAAACACCCAAGCCTGCTTCCCAACATCACATGATGCCCTCCAAACGGCATATGCGGCATCCTCAAAATGGAATCCTCCAAATGGCACCTATGGAAGCTCGAAAATTGGAATCCCCAAAATGGCGCCTATGAAAACAAAGACCAAAACCGGTTTGCCCACCAGCCTGATTTTGTTTGTTTTTCTTGAGCCGCACCCACGGAATGCACCGGGAATGGGAAGCCATTCTCGGCAAGCCTCGAGATACCGGAGGAACCGGATGAGCCAAGAGAAGGCGATCCAAAATTTCCAACAAACTGAGGTGTTTTTTGAAGTCCAAATCCGAAAAGAACATATATATATATATATATTTAACAAAAAAGAAAAATAAAGAAACAAAACCCATGACGACAAGATGGATCCACATGTTTGCCAAAGTGTTGTTGATTTAGGCTCCCATTTGAAGCCTCTGGTACGCCGGTCTGAGGGGAGGTGTCATTCGGGTGACTCATTTGCTGGGTTAGGCACACCGCTAGCAATATAAGACTCGGTTGCTTTCTGCTCCCCGGCTAAAAGTTTAACTTTTAGTGGTCTAATGGACAACCCAGTAGTTGGCAAAAAGTTGCTCAGTCTTAACATCCAAGCAAAATGCAGCAAAGAAGAGGCCCTGGATTCCTGAATCATGTTCATGAACACCAGCCGGACCTGTTGCGGCCATGGACAAAAAACCCAAACAACTGCTGGTTTCGTGATTCTACCATGATCAAAGTCACCCCGTAAGTGGTGGGTTAAAGGGAAACTGCCCCACTGTGTCACTTTGATAACCACCAAACACCGAACCAAAATCATGACCCCAGAACTGCCAAAACTGGGTAAGGGAAACGAGCGATTGGCCAACCGAGAAGGATCCGTCCCGCGAGGAACCGACCATATTCACAAAACCGTCAGGGGCTTCCCCAAAACGATGCCAACCTGCAACGGAGATTTGAGCAGAGACCCCATAGCTTCCGGCTGCTCGTTGCTGTTGACCCCTCTAAAAGTTGTTTCCTTGTTGCGGCTCCAATTTGGAAAATGTGTTTCCAGTTTCAACCAAGAAGTTTTCAAGTCCCAAAGTTCGTTACCAACTAGCCATAAAGCAAAAAGGGATCAACTAAATCGTGGTTTCGCCATTTCCAGCCGGGGAATAACAACAAAAATCCAGAACCTGCATTTTTCTGTGTACACTACCACTCAACCAACTGAAAACTTCTAGAAGCAGGGCTGTGGGAAATGGAATCCACTGCTGTGATACAACAAACAGGGACTCCCAAAGACTAACCCCCCCCCCCCCAAAAAAAAAAAAAACAGAAAGACAAAACAGATTCCCGAAAGTATCAGAAGTGGTTGGATAAGCCCCTTGTGATCAAACCCCTGTCCCAAATGAACCATACAGTTGGGCAGGGGCTTTTCCTTTTTCGAGGGGTACCTAACCCATTTCCATTCTTGCCAGGGATCCTTCTTTCTAGAAAACCTCCCGAAACCCAGGGAAACTAGCTGGTTTTTGAAGAGAGCGATGGTTGGAAAGAATGGAAAAGGAATCAACCCCTAGAGGTTTAATCCTCGTTGTTGGAGGTTGTTAGTTGGTTGAGGCGGTTTTTTGTTTTTTCTTCTTGGGCTTTTAGACTTGGTTTTCTAGAAAGATTCGGATCCCTGGGTTAAGAATGGAACTGGGTTAGGTACCAAACGAAAACCAACAACAGCCTCAACCAGCAAAAGACCTCCAACAACGAGGATTGAACCGGACGCCGAGAAAGTCTTTGAACTTCCAGCGCCTGGCGATCTCTGCCGTGAGGTCCTCCACGATGGAGCCGCTGCTCGCCTCGTTCCGCACCGCCTGACCGCGGCTTTCGGGGGGAGGTGTTGCCAACGCCTGCCACAACGGCCCTTAAGCCTTCAAAAAGACATTGACAAGCCTTGGATGTCAGCTTTTTAGTCCTGTTCAGTGTATACCTTTTTGGTTTCGGCCGGGAGAATTCCAAAGGTTCAACAGGAGCTTTCTTTGCCCGGGGTGCAAGTGCAGCAGCCAAGGCAGGCATGACAAACTTCTCGGCTGCCCCCCCCCCCCAAATCCATGTTGAACTCCCTGGACCAACAAACAAAAAGGTGTCCCAAAATGGTGGGTTGACATCCCCTTTAAAAAGGGCAGTGTGGGAGTTCAGGTGCTTTAATGTTTTGGGAGCATTTGCGTGTTTGCGTTTGTTGCTTTTTTCCCGGGGGGATTTGGCCTTTCAAACTACCCCAAAAAGGGTACCTTCAAAAACAGACACACCCAAATAAACGGAAACCACTTAAAAGGGAACCCCAGTACCTAACCCAAGGATTCCCTTTAAACAACTCAGTTTGGGCTCTCCTTTTGGATGTTTGTTTGCCTTGGGGACAGATGGGCCGTCCTTTGATTCCCCCAAGAAGTCCAAATTGTACTGTACCAACTGCGAAGAAGACACAGCATGTTTGAGTCTGCTCAAAAATGCGGTGAAGCTTGAACTGTACAATCACTGCGCATGAGATCCCAGTTTAGTGGGATTCGCTTGATTTGGCGGGATGCCTCTGATATGGATTCTGCCCTGGATCCATCTAAAGTTAAATTTGCCACTAGTTCATCTTCCCAATGAGCAATTCTGTGCAAGGTTCCCTTGTATCGCAGGAGTGTGTTGTTGACCTTTTTTCCCCCAACAGCTGAAAGCTAAAAGGTCTCAGCCCAAATGGGGGAGCTCTGGAGTCAGGGTCGAAGGCTGAGGTTCCATGCTCCGGATGCGCGGGTCCCAGGTGTATGGTTCAAGGAAGAATCCGGCCACCACTGACCGTTGCGAGCAATGTGCTGGTGTTTTTGTGTTGCTGTTGGGGTTGCCACCAATTAAAATCTCATTGACCTTCCTTGAACCACATGGTGTTTCCCACTCAAAACCGCAGATGCCCAGTGGTCATGGGAAGAACAAAAAACGGTCATCCTTTTTGGGTTGGTTGACTTTAAAGCCAAAAAAAGAAAAACAGGGTACCGCTGGGCAACTGGGATGCTCCAAGGGTTCCAAGAAGGGTCCCCGAAAAGTTCCCCGAAGGGTTCCGCTGGGGATGCCGGGCGCACCTGGGACCCGGGCTGGAGGATTTGTCGCACACCAATCGAGTCATATTCAAAACCCGGTAGTAAAAATGGTGGATCCCCAGAACCATGCTTCAAGAATCAAGCAGGCGGATCTCCGCAGCTACTTAGCTTTGGCCCTTACTAACCTCATCTACCCGAATTGGTTTTCATTGCTCAGTTCAAGTCAACACCCTCTGACCTGAGGGGAAGGGTCCATTTTTTGCGCGACGATAAGTTGGCTGGGCCAACACCTCGCCTTTTTTTATTCTTCTATTTTTGAGCATGAAACCATTGTGCAAACACTCTTTTGTTCATTTATGTGGGTTCATCCGTTTTTTTGGTTTCCGGGGGTGTCATCTTTTTGTTAGACCAACCAACATGGCTTCAATTGTCCTCTTGGCGTGCCCTCTAAAGCCAAACAAGGGGTAGCAACTCCAAAATTTCGGGGGATCGCTGAGACGGGCCGAGAGCCAAGGCACCTATGAACCTAGACCCTCCAAGCCTCACAGAAAAAGTCACCTTTGGGGTTGCACTATCCAAATTCGGAGGGTTGGCCCAGGTAGATGGAGGTCATGGGGACTGGGGGGGAGGGAGGGGAGGGGGAGGGACCCCAAAAAGGCCCTAAACAAGGCCTTAGTAAGGGCTTAATGAGGGCTTATTTGGGCTCCCTCCCCTTCCCCTCCCTCCCCCCCAGCCCCCATGAGAAGGTGAAGGCGAAGTCATGTTCACCCGACTTGAAGCGCCTGGGTGGCCACGTGCTTGCAGGTCTGCGCCTCACTTCACGAGTGGATGGGCCAACCAGTTGGCCGTGGCTCAAATAAATGGACACCAAAATGACACAAGGGTAAATGTAAAGACTCAAACCTGCCAATAAGCCCTAGCTGTTAAAAACCAAATGAGCCACACCCAGTTGGCATTTGTGGGATGGCACCTGGAAGATCAGGTTCCTCTTGAAGGCACCCTCTCTCAGGTGCCATGTTTGTGGAAGGGGTTGTAACAAAACTGTTAGTTTCAACCAACATTTTCCAGACCCAAACAGTGTGTAAAGTCCAGGAACTCGGGAAGCGAGAGTCAACTTTTGAGCCACCACGAGTTTGTGGGAATCCACTGGGAAACTGGTTGGAAACCTGGTCAACTGTCCATGAAGGCGTGGTTGGGGGGGGTGCTGGACGGACAGGAAACATATTTGTTTTTGGATGTTTGGCCAATCTCCCGAGATTCCTATAGCTTTGCGCATTTGCGCTCTGAGATTGCGCGACATGAAGAAGGACACATATTTTCAGAATTAAATGCAACCGGCATGATCAACTAGGAGGAGTCCGACTTCTTTGCTTTGGACAAAACTAACGCCCTGGAGGCTTTTTAATGGGTCGAAATGTACGTATTTTACGCGTCCGTCAACATCATCAGCATCGTTTTCAACATCCCCCGCATGTCTAGCCAACATCGCCAGCATCACCAGCAAATTGGCTTCCCGCATCTCATGGTAAAAGTGAGGATTCAATTAAAGGCGCAGGGGGGTTGGGGGGGGGCGGCGGCCTTTTTTGGGGGGGGCGGCAGCCCCCCCATAATGCCCCCCCATGATGATTGAAAAAGTAATGATTCAATTAAAGGCGCGGGGGTGTTGGGGCGGGCGGCAGCCCCCCCATGATGATCGAAAAAGTGATGATTCAATCAGGGGCAAAAAGTCTAAAAATAGCGGGGGGGTTGGGGGGGCGGCAGCCCCCCCCATGATGATCGAACAATTAGGGGCAAAGAATCTAAAAAGTAGCGGTCGCATGATGATCGAAAAAGTGATGATTCAAATAGGGGCAAAAAGTCCAAAAAATAGCGGGGGGGTTGGGGGGGGGGCGGCAGCCCCCCCACGATGATTGAAAAAGTGATGATTCAATTAGGGCAAAACAAATAACAATAAAAAAGCAGCGGGGGTGGCATCAGTGCCTCTGCGCCGAGGCCTCATGGCACAAGTGAGGGGATTCAATCACGGGCAAACTAATCCCTGTAAAACGGCAGCCAAAGAATCTAAAAAGCAGCTGTCACATGATGACCGAAAAAGTGATGATTCAATCAGGCGTGTATTTTAATCGAAAGGGGGGTGGCGGGTGGCGCCAGAGAGGAACTTGCGATGCTGAGGATGCAGGAAGCCAAGGCCAAAAACCAACCGGGAAAGCAGAGGATGCGAAAAGCCAAACCTAAAAACCACCAAAAGCCACAAAGCCAAAAAGCCAGCGGAACTGGCAATGCAAAGGATGCGAAAGGGAGGAACTGTGAATGCAGAGGATGCTAAACAAAAACCCACGTAAAAGCCACAAAAGCCAAAAAGCCGAAAAGCCACCCACCCTGAAAAACAAAAATAATTCCTAAAACAAAACGAAAAAAAATCCTTTAAAAAAAGGCCCTCCCTTTTTAATTGGGGTTGGGGATGAGGTATGCAGGCTGCCAGGTCCAAGCGACATCAAGGACTGGCCCAAAGAGAATTAGAGACTTGCTTTTTTCTTTGGGCGAGTCTTTTTGGGGGTACTCCGTGTTTTGTGGAAGGGACACCAAACAGAAAACCGCACTTCCGTTCTCTTATTCTTCTTTTATTTTGGGGGGGGGCGGGGGGGTCGCTTAAAAAAAGACATACGAAAATGGTTCCCTCACTTGCTGAGTGGATGGCCAAAAAAAAGTCCAAACTTTTTATTTACCACTAAAATGGTCTTCCCAAAAAGTTTAAAGTTCATGAACTCAGGAAGTGAGTTCCTCTTTAAAGGGATACCCAGCTCCGACACAACTTCAGGTGACATGGGCTCCCACTTGAGTCATCGAAACCAATCAGTACTAAAATGGTCCCACAGTGGGCTGTCCGTTTTTCAGATCCCCCGGTAAAAGTGGCTCACTTTGTGTGGGTCAAATTCGGAAAACCCCCACTAAACGCTAAAAAGCCGAAAAAGCTAAGGAACCGGATGGCTGGGAGCCACCAAGAGTGAAAGGAAGTGAAAAGGCGGGTGCGATGGCTGGGAGTGCCTCACTTGGGGTGCCGACTTGTACATGAAGCCGGTCGGGTCTGACCGCTGGCTTTAACTGAGGCTCTGGCAAACTTCAAGGTGCCCAGCGTCTCCTCGCGTGGGGAATCCCTCCTGCTGTGCTCACCGAGCCACTGGATTAGTGTGAGCTTGTTTTGGTGCACCACTAAAATGGCCATCAAACCCACAAAGTTTAAAATCCAGGGACCCATGACGTGAGTTTGGGAGGGGCTACCCCTTTGAAGAGTTTAAGCAGGGGTCTTGTTTGAAAGATGAACTTACTGGTGGGTTCCATTGAACACATCGCCACTGCTGAAGGTTCCAAAAAGGACCTGGGTCTATCTTCTTTTCAGTGTATCCCCTTTTTATATATTTTTAAAGGGCAACCGAGAGGAAGACCCACAGTTTTGAGGGGTCCAACCTTGCACACGACACAGCCAAATGGGGATTGATTCATATTCCTGGCCACAAAAAATACAACCATGGGTAACTTTCCCATGTGGTGAAATTGAAAGTCGTATCTTTTCTGTGGTTTCCCTGGTCATCCCATGTATCACGGACCTTTTGATTAACTTCCGATTTGTCAGGAACCCCCCGGAACCCTTCCCCCAAAAAGTCCAAAAAAACCCGACCCACCGCCGACTCCGACTCCGCCGACTCGGACTCCGGAAGCCTCGTAGTTGGACAGCGCCGGGGAGATGGCGGCGATCATCACCGTCTTTGAGTTCCCACTGAGAGCATCTTGCCTCAAACGGACATCGGCTCGAAACAAATCCAGTGGCTCAAGAGCACTGCTGCGCCTCCCCACATCCAAAAATGGAAACAGAGACTGAAACCTGTGGTTTGCCCTTAACCAAAATGGCTCACACAAGAGCACTGCAGGTACTCCCATGGACCACCCTTGGAGGGTGCCGGCAGAAGAGTTCTTGAACACCCATTCAGGACTCTGGACCATTAGTTTTGGTTGTCTCATAAAATAGTGGAACCTGGTGTCCTTCAAAATGATGCCATGCCCAGTGGACCCACTAAACAAAAAGGTGAAAGCGCTCTTGCCTTGACTGAACCACTGAACGGTGAATTGGCCAGTAAATCAAACTAGGGGCTCATACTTTGACCCCCTGCAACTAACATTTGCTTGCATGCTTGGGGAGAACGAAGGAAAACAAGTAAGCCACACCTGGCCATGTTGCCAAACCTTGAAACAACTCACACGGCTTGCCCTCCCCCGCTGAGGTGAACAGTCAGACTGACTTCCAGGGAGGTTGGCAGCCGGCATCACAGCTAAATCTGCTCGCTCCAAGCGCTCCAAGTGGGTTCAAACGGTGTCTCAAGGTTGTCCTTTTGACACACTTCGGACAAGGTCCGACTCCAAGAGGCATCTAACCAATTTCGGAGGCCACCTGGGTATGGCTTCAAATGGGGAACCATGCTTGGGTCTCAAAAATCGGCGGAAAAAAAAACCTGCACATGGCCAGCTGAAGTCTGCAAACCTCGACTGACGTTGTACGAACCCTTTGCAAATTCCTGGCAAGGAAGGATAATCCTTATGAACGCAGTTTAACTGTACCCATTGAGTACTGGCCACACGACAGGTTGTGCCCTGAATTGAAAGCAAGAAAAACTGACAGGCCAAATACGCAAACTATGTGAGTCCGGCCTTGTTACAACATGTAACATGTTCGTGTATCAATTTCAGCCACCAGCGAATCTAAAGTGCAGCCTATTTCCAAAACATGTAAGTCGAAACAACTAATTTTTAATTGTTGCTGAAACAGTCTCCTTTAGGTTTCCCTTTGCAGGGGGCCGAATCTGGTTTGATTGTCCAATTTTCTTTTTGCACACGCCAGTGCCCAACCGGGACAATGGGGCTCGCAGCGGTTTCTCTTTTCAAGAAATCAACCACCTGAGTAGTCAATAACGGAACCCCGCTGCCCAAGAGTTGCCCTGTCAAAGGCTAAAACTTTTGCCGGAGAAAAGGGCGAATGGCGGACCCAAGGCAAGTGGGCAAAGATAAAGGTTACTTCAGTCCGGCAGCGTGAAACGGACACTGCAGAACCCACTTTCCAACAAAAAGAGGATGTTGAGTCTACCTGGGGGCAGGCAGTCAACTGGAACCCTTGTGAAAGGCGTCTACTCTATGATAATTGGAACTCTTTCGGTTTGCCTTTCATCACCCCAAAATTGGTCAAACATTCGAACATCAGGCGCGATCAACGAACTTGAGGGGCAGGATACCCTCCGCCTATGATAGAACGCTTCTTGATTTGCCTTTCATCCCCCAAGTTGGGTAAAAACAAAAAACGACGCGCTCAACGAAGTCCAGGGGCAGGATTGGTAAAACAACAAGAAACGCGCATCCGACGCGATCTTCGCATATCCAAGGGGCAGGATGTGTGTCAGCTTGGAGTTCCTGAAGGGCACGAAGTCCGCCTTGCCCTCGTCCGAGGAGGACGCCAGCTTGTTGATCACCAGCGCCAAGTTGGACAAGGACCTGAGTCGGTCCCTAGAGATTCTTCAGCCCCTTTGAAAAAGAGCCCCTTCAAAACACACACACACACACGTTAAAACCAAAGGCTGGTAGGGGTGTGTTTTGTTTTCTTCTCCCCTTTTTTCCTCTTGGTGTTTTTTTCACGTCCCCAGCATCACCAGCCCCACCGACCTCTCTCAGGAGTCCTTGGAAAGGACCACAGTCCAAGTTGCCGTTTTTCTTGTTTATACTCGGTTGCTTTCTGCTCCCCTTCCAAAAGCTGTTTTTTGTTTAAGCGGTTTAATGGAAACCCCGTTCGTTGGCAAGAAGTTCAAGTCCTAACGTCCAAGCAACACGCACCAAAGAGAGGAGCAGATTGTTCAGCCGCTCAAAACACAAAAAGCAGCCCCTTCAAGACACACACAACCTAAAAGCCCCGTATTAAAGACAAAGGCCCTTTCAAGAAACATAACTTGAACAACAAGACAGAACCTAAACCCAAGGCCTCTGAACAAAAGCCGGGTAAAATTTAAGGGAATTAGGTTGGGTCCCCCTACACCAGGATGAATTTGGACGTCATGTTGTTCTTGAGTCAAGAGGATAACTAAACCCACATGGGGGAACCTCATGCCATCTATTTTCACCCTGTAAAATGGTTTCATTCTCCCAAGGGCCCAAGAGAATCACTTCCTTGGACCCCTAGCAGTACCGGCCGCGGCGCCCCGAAACACGGGAAGGCCTTCCCGGCGCTCCCGGGACGAGTTGACCTCCGGGCGGCTGGTTGATCATGGCCCCCTCCTTCAGCTGACTCCCCGAGGCCCCGGTCTTCTTCTGCCGTTCAGAGCCTCGCGACTCGCGAGCGAGCCAGGGCGCTCGTTTTTTCCCGAATGGAGAACCCAGATCCCCCAAAAACCGAATCAAGCAGTGGATGTGGAGAATGGATATGGATATGGATATGGAGAACCCGGACCCTAACAAGCAGTGGATGTGGAGAATGTTGACCCCATATTGAATCAACCGCGTGTTAGTAGAGGGGTGCCGGCCGCTCGCCTTCCGATGCGAGGGCAACTCTCTCGGTGCGAGAGGAGACCCGAGAACGCGCCCCGCCCCGAGTCCCCGAGGGACCTTTTTGTTGCTGTGCTTAGGGGACCCCAACAAAAACGAAAACAGTGGTGGGTAGGGGTTCTACAGGGCATACCCACAAAGCCACCCCCCCCCAACACCAAAAAAAACAGTGGGGTTTTGCAGGGCCCAAGGCAATTGACCCCCCCACAGCTGCCGCGTATGTCTAATAGCTTTTGTGCATTTGGGGTATGCAAAGGCTCTTTCAGGTTCCCTGCTTGTTTTTGACAGAGTACGCAACTCTGAAGGTAATTGATCTTCCTCCCACAAACATAGCACCTGTGGGAGGGTGTCTGGAGAAACTTCCTCTGGAATGCATCCCCGTCAAGTGGTGTGTGGGGTCCCCTCAAAAAGAAGTTGCATGTCCTCTGTCACTAGAAAGGGAAAGCCTGTAGCCCCTGGGAGGATTCGCCTGCCCAGTCCAGTCGAGCAATCGACTAACGCCAAGAGGCCTGCAAGATCGACCAGGTTCACACCTTGGCGCTTGCGAGTCGATACATCACCTCATTTTGAAAAACTCCGAGTTTCCATCCGTTTTTTGCCCCCCCCGTCCCCCAGAATGGATGGCTTTTTCAACCGCCTGGTGTCCCTTTGGCCTCCGCTGGCTTGAACTCTTGCCTCCACACTGCCGGGGCAGCTTGGTGCTTTTTCAATATGTTGCCGAGCGAGCAGTTGGGAGAGCTGGAGCAGCTGGCCTCTGAAAATTTGTCTCTTTTACTAGGGGACCCAAACAGAATGGTGGATATGCTTACCCCCCAAAACAAACAAACCAACACGGAAACAAAAATCGGGCTCCCTCAAAAAACGACACACACAAATACACGTGTTTGTTCTTGAGCATCACTCCAAGGACAATTGCATAGCCCTGGAAGTCGGCAGCGACATTTTGTTTTACCAGACTGAACCACTTCCCAGCTGTGAAAAAACGCAGTGTTTCATCTCAGGGAATAAACTCAGTTGCCCAAAGGACCCAGAAATAACTGGTTAACCTTTTGGGGCCATCACTAAAAATGGGCCAAAATCGGAAAACCAACAGGTTAAAAGGTCGATTCGCTTTGGGCAACTGAGATAAATAACGCTGTATATACAGCGGCCCAAGGGGGACGATTTGTGATTTGATCCAGGAGCTGGCGCGCTGCTCGTGGGAGCCTTCCCGTTTCAGCAGGGTGAAGTTGAAGATGCAGTGCGACCGCGAAGACGCCGAGTTCCTCGCGCTCCGCGGAGGAGTTTGGTCAATCTTCCTGCACACATCCCGCATACCCAAGTAGCCACCTTAACCTTTGGTGATTGGTTTTGCTGGTTCGCTGGCGATCTTTTCCCCATTTGGCTGAGCGGGTCCGGCCGATCGGATCGAGTTGGTTCAGAGGATACCCGCCAGCAACGTGCCTCCCAATCGGGCCAAAGACTCACTTGCAACCAGATGGTCTGGAAATACAAGCTGAGCTCACCGTTTGGAGCCAAAACGCCAAATATGGACCAGGAGAAAAGCAAAAGGTCAGAAGGTCGATCTTCGGGTTGGAAGCCACAGACTGAAAGAAGACCGGGAAAAAAGCAAAAGGTCAGAACCGAACGATCGTTGTGGTGAGAAGATAAGGAACCGGCAAGCCAGTGCAAAACAAAAGTCATACAACACAGCCACAACAAAATGTCCATCGACATTTGCCAAATACCCACCCAAGAACAAGGACTGTAGGGTCTTCCTCAGGGTTCCTGCGAGTTTCCTAGGGTTTCCTTAGGGCTTCCTCGGCTTTCTTTGGGATTCCTGTTTAGGGCTTCCTGTTCCTTAGAGTTTCCTAAATCCCCCGAGACTTAGATCTTTCGAAATGGAAACACTACCTTAAAGTGTCCCAGGATAGGATGCACTGCAAGCACTTGATGCGCAGTCACTTTCCTGCGATCTTTTTCTTCTGCAACCCGAGCGTCAAATTCGAGCCCCTCTGCCTCCATTCACATTCGCGCCGAGCTGCATGTTGGTGGCCGCCACGCTCCGGGCCTTGGTGCCGAAGTCCAGGATGCTCTGCACGTCGCTGTAGCTGGTGACCTGAGATCGATCGATCCAAACCCAAGGGCAGCGCTTTGGAAATGGAGACCATGGCACCCACAGCCACGGTCTTTTTGCTACCTTTTCTAAGAAAATGGCCGACCCCCCAGAAAAAGAAATCCTTTACTATGAGGGGGTCAATCAATTGTCCACAAAAGGTCGCAAAAAAGACCCCCCTGACCACCGTATCCCCACTAAAATAGACAAAAATGGACTAAAATGGGTGGTGCACCTACCCCAAAATGGTACGTACCATTGCTTTTGACCCACAGCCACATGGCACCCAAGGGTAAATGGAACCAAAGACTAAAACCTGTTTGAAAAACTCTCTTTCATGTTGAGCCACAAAATTTGTGAAACTAAGGCTCATGACCCCAATGGGGCTCTTATGGGGGCCCTCCAAGAACAAAAACCGACCCAGGGGCCCTTGACAACAACCAAATCATTTTGAGGGCCCAACTATGATCGGGAGCCTTGCTGGAAGTCAGCCAGGGGCGGTGCTGGAAGGAACGAAAGAAAGACACTGAGAAGGAAACACATAAATAACAAATAAAGGAACTACCACATAAATGAAGGAAAGACACTGAGAAGGAACTACCACAAACAAAGGAGCAAAGCAAGAAACGAAGAAAGACGCAAAGCAATGAGCAAAGAAAGAAAAAAAAACAAAAACCAAGCACAAACACAAAGAAAGACATACTAGAAACAAATAACTAAACAAATACTCAAAACGGGAAGGAAAACAACAAACAACAAACAACAGTTCAAGTAAAACGAGAACAAACAACAACAAGTCTGAACCATCTGGTAGATCTCTGGACTCTTAGGAGTTGATGACCTTAAGCAATCGAGTCGCGTGTTCGTTTAAGCATGTCAGTTCGGTTGAAAGCAAATGCAGTGGCACTGTTTTCTTGGCCGCATCTGGGTTACTCAACAACCATCTGAGGGGAATCACCAGAACAGCTGGTTTCCCGTTGGTGTCTTCTTCGACTAATCCGAAATGGGTCCATCAAAACCAACACCCATATTTAGTCCAACCTAACACATAAACCTGGGAACGTTGCTGAAATTTACCAACCAAGAAAAAATACAATCTTCACACAGGGCCTTCCTATCGTTTGCTTTACCCGGACGGCGATCTCGCTACAATTTGCCCAGAGACCCCATGATTCAGCCTAACCATTTACCGGTGCCATCGATCTTTAAAACGAGTCATCAAAACCTGGCGTCGCAACCAGACCTTCATTGAAGTTTCAGGGAAATTCAAATGGACACCCATTGTCGGGGGATTGCTGTCGATGAGGCATGTTGAGCTTGTGGGAAACCCTAATCTCAATCACATGAACCCTGCTGGTTCTCGCGAATATGGGAATGACAGCTATGCGAAGAACCCATTTCAGGTGGGGACAGTCCCGGAATACTGATACAAACATGTTCACTTGAGTGTAATGCTCAGCCAGGTTTTTTACAGGCAAAGAAAAGTGGGTGGAGGTTTACTTGCTGATGCTCAGCAGGAAATTCGGGAATGACCCCTATGCACAATCCCTTCAGGTTTTCATAGGGAATCCCCTTCCGGTTCATTCCCAACACCCGCTCTCGGTCATTCCCTACCTATCGCACCAGCAAGCAAGCTTGAGACGCCAAGGTTGAAGGGACACGCTTCAAGATGAAGCTTCAAGATGACAGCAACGCACCTCGTTTCACCCCTGGAACGACCGCCTCGTTTTTCGTTTTCTTTCCTCGAGCGGCGGCGTTGGTGGTGAGGCCGGCCACATAAATGCCCAGCTTAGGGTGATGCCGGACCTAACGAGCTTCCAGTCCGCTTCAGCATTGAAAGGGGTCCCTTTGAAGATGGGGCAACCCACCAAGCACAAAGGGAAGCTAGGGCAAACTCGCCTTTTTCTCCAGAACCTCAGCAAACAGAAACGGAATCTAGGGCCAACTCGTGTTTTTCTTCAGAACCTCAGCAAACAGAAAATGGATCTATGGCAAACTTGCAGAACTCACAGACCTGACACAACCCCGACAAACCCCAAGCAGGGAACTCCCAGTAAAGGGCCTTCGTAATCGGGTGGTAAGCCCCGCAACATCAGGTGAGCTCGATATCATGTGTTCACATCGGTCAGATGGCTGTGGGTCAAAAATAGGTGCCCAAAATGGAACCCTGGGAAGTGGAAACATGGACCAAAACCTGCGTTCCCTGATGGTTTAATTTTGACCCATACCCAGATGACCCCCGAGATGCAAACTACCAACGAAGGGTTACCTGCATTTACCTGCCTAAGACGTGAAACCAATACCAAAGCTTAACCATTCAATGGAAAAACCAAAAAGTCCAACGGTCAGCTTCTCATGTGTATTTTTGGGGGGTACCCCTTTGTTGTGGGTTCGACAGGGAAACCGAAGCGATAGGATAATCACCATTTTTGGGGGGCATACAAACAGGCACACCCTGTTGGACAACTGAGAAAGACGCTTCCCTCAGCCGCCATTTCCCAGAACCCAAAAACCCGAGGAAAAACATAACAAGCAACTTAGCTTCCAATGGCTGACTTTGCAGGAAACTTGCGAGAGGTGCTTGGCCAAAAATAGGGGTGTCTCTCGGAATGTTGGTTTTCTTTTGGTTTCCCAGTAAAACCCCCAAAAAGGCGCCCCCCCCTGAGACAGACCATATTATGGCTTGTGTTTCTCACTGTCACTTGCCAGGGTATGGAAATACCAGGTTAATGGTTAACTTTTTGGAACATTGACTATACATAGATCGAAAGGGAACAAACGATAGTTGGCATGCTTCCAGGGAAACAAACACAACAACGGCTTTCACCTCCCAGCTGAAGACCGTCCTCTGGTACACTCGCACGAATTTCGGCAAGGCTCAAAGACGTTTGCGCCTTGACCCTGCGCATTCGTAAAGAGCTTAACCCCATTCCGCCCCACCCCACCCCAACCCCCCCCCCACCCCCACCTCACCCCACCCGAATAATTGTGGTCATGGAACATTTATCAAGGTCGGTCCCTGTTGACCAGAAGCAAGCTGATTCACCATGGTATGCATTGTTGGGTAGTGGGCGATATGGCTTCCTCTCCAGTGAATTGTGTAGGTCGGAGAAGGACTGTTTGTCTCCGCAAGGACTGCTTTTGCAATTGTGTGTTCCCCAATTGAACAATAAGGAATGCGCACGAAAGGCAAAATCATCCTTGAGGTCGACAGTCGTCCATACTTGGGTTTGTCCTTTTGTGAGGGTAGCCTTTTTGGGCTGACAACCACCAGTTCGGCGGCCCACCGGTTCGAGACAACTCCATTTTGCCCATATTCAACACGAGCAAGGTGGAAACAAATCCATCCCTGACAACCCGCCTGGGGACCCCAACATTGAATTTCTGCCCATGAATATCTATATATATATATATATATGGGTCAAAAACAAACAAAGACCTTTTTGTGGCTGACCCCCTTTTTGTTTGGTCCATGCTAGAAGGGAATCGCGGGGGAGGGAAGTACCAGGGTTTTGAGCCACAGCCTTATGTCACTACGCACGGGCGTATCTATGGGCGTATCAAAAGGGCGTCGACTTTGAGGCGGGATACGGGACTTGGGGAATTCAAGCCGTGGAAACTCCCATTGCCCTCAGGGGCAAATCCCTAAAGTCGGCCAAACCAAATCAAGAGCCCTGACCAAGGCCTTACCCACCACTACAAGATGTTTTTTGTGTGTCCCGAAAAGAAGGGGGTGGCTGTACTTACCCCTTAAAACTCCAAGCTCTGGGGAAGTTAATCTTTTACAGACATATAGCCCATGTTACCCAAAAAGTTGAAAAGTTGTGTTTTTTAAGAGGTAAGTGTACGTTATACAACTTCGCCACCAACCCTTCATTGAGGTGTGCCCCCGAGGCACTGTTAGTTTCGGAGGCTTCTCCGTCATGGGGATGAGCAGATCACGGATTTGCTCCTCACGAGAAATCCGAGCGTCGCGGAGGGGAACACATTCCTTGAAGTAACTTTGTCATAAGGGCCAGAACACAACCGGAAAATTGGGCGGGGTACCGGGGTACCTCACCAAATATAGCCCTGATCGAAGAAAAACAAATGTGTGACATGTAGCCATCATGTAGCCCCTGATATTTCGCCTGCCTGCAACCCATGGCTTGCCATGTCTCGCATGAGCCTATGTCCACAGATGAAGTGAAACATCCTGTGAGTAGGTAAGTTCATCCGGAGTGATGTTATCATTCGACTAAATCATGAGTGTCCTTTTTGTGGGTACCGCTCTTCTTTGTTTTTTTCCTTCTTTTTGTTTTGTGGGGGGGGGGGGGGGGCGGGGGTAAGGGACACCAAAAGGAAAACCACCATGTTGGGGTCCGATAAAGAAAGACACACCCAAACACTACCTATTAAAAAGCATGTTTTCAGGATAGAATGCAACAATTCTCCCACAAGTGCCTTCTCCCACAAACCACCTTCTCCCCCGGAACCCGTTTACTCTGAGACTTGGCCTTCTGGGGGGGAACTTAATCCAATGTTAAGGTTGTGTTGCAGGAAGATGCGGTGTTTCCAGCAATGGTATTTGCAAAGCAGTCTCTTCTCTTCAATCCCGAAAGCAATCAACCTGTCTTGCAAATGACCCTAAAACCGACGCACCTTCCAAGGCTCTATTTATGCTGGGTTGCCACGACGTGTTCTGCAAGTGTGACAAGAACTGGGCAAACAATAGACAGAAGTAGATGTGAAATTGCATGTCACACTAAGTCGGGGTGTGTAGCACGTTTTTTTTACCAGGTGGTTTCCCTGTGGAAGTTGTGGATAACTCAACACAACTGCATTGTCAACAACACCGCCAACAACACACAACCGCAATCAACTTGCAACAACCAGCAAGCAAGCAATCAAGCAAGCCAGCCAGCCAGCAAGCAAACAACAACAGACACACACACACACATACAATCAAACTGACGAACAGACAGACAGACAGACAGACAGACAAACAGACAGACAGACAAACAAACAAACAAACAAAAAACAAACGAACAACCAAGCAACCAGACACCCAAGCAACCCAGGCAAGCAAGCAAGCACGCAAGCAAGTAAGCAAACAAGTAAACCGACCGACCAGCCAACAAGCCGAGCAACCCAGCAACACGGCAACCAAGCAACAAGGCAACCGACCAAGCAAGAAACCCAGCAATCAACCAACACACCATAAACAAAAAACAACGAACAACAAACACCACCACACAAATCCATTCGACCCTAAAATGTTATTTTTACTCCACAAATTCTCGGCGCACGTGGTTTGGCGCATCAGGAACAAATCTAACCCTTGCGCTTGAGGTCACTACAAGTCACTGCACAGCAACTCATGTCAACCCTGATTCATACTTGGATGTCCAACCAACTTACCATGTTGATTATAACCATGACTATGACTTGGATAACTGGGGTTGGTCCCCTTACAGCCATGGTTATAGCCTACTTACTGAGTTAAACATCCAAGTAACCCTGGAGGGCATTCCTTCAAGTGAAGGATTTCCTCACACGGGACACCTATCATCAGCCAGTGGTTTATTAATCTTGCATTCCTATTCGCTCTGCGGATGGACACCATGCAGAAAACACTGGCAAGTTCTTACACCGGCTACTGAATTGCGGGGTCTGGGGAAAAAACCATACCATTGCCCATCCCATTTGGCGTTTTTTGTTGTTTCCTTGTCGAAGAAACAAGAAACACAAACCACCTCTTGTGTACCCCCTGCTCTGGGGACAATACTATTGCCCATCCCATTTGGGTTCCTTGTTTCGAAAAAGGAAAACACAAAAACCGTCATGGGCTAACCATCCACTGCTCTGCCTGAGCCAAGGCACGTTATAAATCTCCAGGTACGACACGTGGCACTGAAACTCCACCGCCTCGCTCTTCTGCTCGCCCACGCGCCGGAAGAGATCTTGCAGAATGCGCCTGAGACAAGGCCCCCCGGCGAACATGGCAGGGCTCGGTTTTGGTTTCTGAAAGCGCGAAAGAGGTCCGCAAACAAACGACTGGCCAATCAGGATGATGTATTGGTTATCATTATTCTTGTGTTATTTATTATTGATATTTGTTGATATTATTTTTGCCTGCTACTCTTGTTGATCCATCTATTCGCAATTCACAAATAAACTGGATTAACCCCGTGCTTAGCCATCCCCGGCACCTTGCAATTGCCCGATGTGTGTATGATTGCCCTTGCCCAGTTGGTCAACCTGGTTTGGTATCGAGGTTGACCGAACAACCCAATCCAATGGATCCAATGGGCCTGAGGCTTGGATAAGCCTGAAGCCTGCGCATACCGGACAAACCAAAACCTTCCTTGGTTTCCCGAGCAAAAATACACTAATGATTACCCTTTGCCAAAGGATCGAGCCGTTTCTACCGGTATAAAACCTGGCGAGGGCGAAAACAAAGTCCGTCCTGGGGCTTGCCGGGCCTGTTGCTACGAAACTCGTTGAGAAGGCCCAGCCAAAAGTTCGAACTTTGCCACTCAAATGGTCAAGTCAAAAATCCAGGAGCTCCGTTTCCGCCTGGATTGAATTGGCTTGGTGAAGTTAACCCACCAAGAATCACCAAGATGCAGGTGTGAATGTCCTCGTTTCCATTTACTGGGGCAACCCATTTTGAGAATCACCTAGGTCCTCCAGTAGAGAGGTTACGCGTTCCCTTTTGTCCCCAACAGCTGAAAGCTTTGGGGTCTCACCGGGGCGGCCCTGAGGTAAGGTTCCACGAGGTTCTGCGAGGGCTGCGGGGTGGTGCGAGCACCAAACTGAGCACCGCGTGGGGGATATCACCTGAGCTTTGTCTGTAGTCTATTTTAGCAAGGGAACCCTCCCCCCCAAAAAAGGTAAAATGGCACTTCTGGGGGACCTGGTCACTATGCTTGACCACCACCCCCATATACAAAAGTGGGTAGCTGTTGAGTTGTTGAGAGCTCGCAAGTTGGGAGGCAAATCCATTTATCGCAGTTCTCTGCTTAGACGAAATTTACGCGTGCATGTTTCTTCCCCCGAGAAAAAGTTCAGAAGGAACTTCTGCGGCACTGGCAAATGAAAAGGTAGCAAACTGCCACCAATGCCATATTAAATCAATAATATATATATATATATATATTCAAAACCCTGGATGATCGAAGCAATTTGCCCCTGAGTCTCAGCAAGTTTCAAGCGCACCTCAGAAAAAAGAAACGCGCGAAGCTCGGCTGCCTAACTTGCAAGCTCGAGTTCATAGGAATGATCCGCAAAGCGGTACTGGCTTTCCGCTGGAGTGCATACAAAGCCCCAAAAAAATCGTCACAAAGGGGAGCCGAATGGACAGCTCTCTGTTCCCAGCCACATTTCCGAAGTCTTTGCATGCGGCATTGGGTAAATGAGCTACAGCGAGGCCTGTTCATCTGCCTCCCGCGGTACGCAGGGAGGGAATTCAATTGCATTGAGTTCCCTTAGAGAAAAAGGGCCCGACAATCCCAAAAGGAAAAAAGTTCCAACCAACATATTGTTACCCTCAATTGCTGGTTTGCATTGGTGGTTAGGATATAGAAATTAACTCGAGGAACCCACCCCTGGAACACCTCCAAACCACCAATCCAAACCACCAACAGCTGAAAAACTAGGCAACGAAAGTCACAGTTTGTGGTTGTTGCTTGACTCATATGCGCCTCAATTTTAGGACCCCACATGGACATTGTTGATACACATGTTGCATCTGACATAAGCATTTGTCGACGTATGTCAATTCGGGCAAATCAGAGAAGCCCCCGCCTTTGAGACGGTTGGTGCTTGAAACTCAGTTGCCCCCGTGCCTCGAACCCCAAACTGGATCGACAAAACATGATGTCACCAAATCTGGTACAAGGAGTCTTCCCAAACCATGTAAATAACATTTTCCAATGGCTGATATCCGCATCTGTGCTTGGTTGGGACTATCCCTTTTTAAAGTTGAGTCTACCTGCACTTCCATTTGCTTAAGCCCCTGGAAAAAACATACTTCCAGTAGTCATAGATTCACTTTAGAACCAACAGGGGAAATAACAAATATTCATTTCAGCAAATGAAAATGAGACTTGACCGAAGCTCACTGTCAGCGCTTCCCGTCGCTTCGTCCGGGCGGCGGCAGAAGTCCTCGATTCTCTGGAGGATCATACTCCCCTCGCGCGAGAATTGCAATGCAAGCGACAGGGGGAACTACTGCGCCCAAAGGGTCCAAGTACTTCATGATGGCTTTTGGGTGGTCAAAAGGGGTCTAGGTACCTCCTTAGAAGAAGATACTTGGACCCTCTGGATTGCATGGAATGGACGAAATGTGTTCGCACCATGTTTAAACCAAGGTGGAAACCATAATGCTTTGTTGGTACCTACCAGGGGATTTCCGTGTCATTCCAGGGCTTCCGAACGGCGGTGCGAAATGGATTTTGTGCATCCACAGTACTGTGCATGGAAAGCGAAACCCGAACGTCGCACCACAAAATGAAACCACGCTTGGAACCAGAACGTTTCTGGGCTTATCTACCTCCATTTGCTGAAGTCCCCTGGAAAAATACAAATACTTTCAGTAGTGAAATCGATTCCCAACCAACAGGGAAAAAAACACCTAACCAAATGGAAGTCTACCACGTGGAATCAACAATCATCCCATGGTTTGCAAGGGATTCTGTCCATCCACTGAGGATGCCCTGGCCTTTTATCCTTCAAGGCACAGGGTTTGTAGCTCCTAGACCGTCCCAAGGATTCTCGCGCTTCGGGCCGTCTGAAACCGGTGGATTCCTTGTCCTATCTTAGAGAAACCAAGGGAGAGGGGGTGGGGGTTGAGAAGCCTATGACAAGAAGGGGGGGCGAGATATTGGTTGGTAATATGGAAGTCAAAACGACCCCATGTTAGGAACCCGATTCCTATGTTGAGAAACACCCAATATGAAGCACGGGAAAACTATTTCCTGCGTGCCCCAAGTGACATGCTGTTGGGTGAACCGCATGGACATTCAAGGTGAGTGTGACCCATGGTCGAGGCCCCCTGACCGAGAGCAACACACCATTTCCTCGCCTCGAGCAAACCCGAGCTGACTTGTGGTATGGTAGAGATGTATATGAGGGTGTCTCTTGTTGGGGGAACCCGCAAAATGATGAAATTTCGGTTGGTTTCCCTTTAAAATCGCCCAAAAAGGGTTACCCTCAGAAAAAGACACACCCATATGGGCCTTTAAAACAACAGAAACGCGTGAGAACCCGGGTAGACCCGGCGACATAGTTTTTGACAAGGTAGGATGAAACACACACACACACACACACACACACACATCCGCTGGCTGCGATCGGAACCCATTTAGCGATCAGAACCCCTTCAGTGCCCCGCCTACTAAACCACCAGGAGGTTTTGGGCGGGGAACTGAATGTCTAACACGGTTGGTCCAAAAGCTCTGGCTTCCTCTCAGTTGCCCAGTTCGGACCCAGAAATAAAAGGTGATCACCTTTTGGGTCGCCATGACTAAAAATGGAAACCCAAATCGGAAAACCAGAAGGTTAAAAGGTCGATGCGCTTTGGTTGCAACTGAGTCCTTTTAAAGGTTCAAGGACACTCGCCGGCGCTCACCGGCTGAGGAAGTTTGGGGCCCGCGCCCAGTACCGAGTGAGTCTTCCCAGAGCCAGTTTGGCCATAGGCGAAGAGCGTGTTGTTGAAGCCATCCATGGCGTTGTCCAGGATCGCTTGACCTCGAGGGCATAGGTGTCCTTTTGGAAAAATAGATGGCCCTGGTAAATGGAATAAAACCCATCTAAACCAGTGCCTTCTATCTTTGACCACACTAACCTAAAAAGGACCTATGCTTGAGGGTTTCTAACGAAATGGTGGACCTTTGAAGAGGGTTTCTAACAAAATCTAGGTCCTCCAGATTTGAGAGGTTTTTCAATAAGGGTACCCGTTTTGTTCTTCTTCTTTTTCTGTAGTGTATTTTAGTGGGGCCCAAAAAAGGGTAAAAGGGCACTACTGGGGGACCTAGAAATGGTGGACCTTCGAAACCACTATTTACAGGGGAAATCGTCATTCCAGGATTTCTGAACGGTGGTGCATGATTCTCGAAACGGTGGACCCTCTTTTGGTTGGTTCAGGGAAAACAAAAGGAAACAAACAATTTTTAGGGACCACTATTTTGATAACCTCCCCCCTCCAAATGGCATGAAGCTTGGTGTCGGGGCCAAACGACCTACAAGGTTTACTGCCATTTGCTTAAGCCCCCTGGCAAAAAACAAAAAGTATTTCCAGTAGTGATAGATTCCCTTAAAAACTAACCAGGGAAAAATAAAATAAACAAATGTTAAGCAAATGGAAGCTTATATTTCCCCTTGTCATTGCCAAGCCCTTGATGACAACCCGTGATGTCTCGAGGTGTAAGGAGGTAGCCTTCGTTGCCTGCACCAACGGCCACTCTGCTCGAATGTTGCGGAATATCAATATCTCGCTGGTGCATGGAAACCGTTTGCTCGTTTGGGATCTGTTGTTTTGCGTTGAAAAAGATACCCCCCCAGTTTCTCCTCCAAGACCAGGTAGATATAGAATCTCACACAAAGAGACAACATCTTTGCACCAATGCAAGTATGAGTGCGTGTTTACGTGTGCATATGTGCGCCCTCAAAAACAACGACCCCCTTGGGGCCAGTCACAAACTGGACGCAAAAACAAACAAAACAAAAAAAAAAAAACCAAGGTCTGGGCCCAAGCAAACTTGTAGGAAAATCCCTGTGTTTGAACCACTGCTGTTTGAACAACCGGTTTAGGGTTTAGGGCTTGGGGTTTTAGGGTTTAGGGTTTGGGGCTTGGGGTTTTAGGGCTTAGGGTTTGGGGCTTGGGGTTTTAGGGCTCAGGGTTTGGGGTTTTAGGGTTTAGGGTTTGGGGCTTTAGGGTTCAGGGTCTGGGCCAAAGAGGCTCTCAAAAAGGTATAGGATGTGTTTCGAAAGGCTCAACTTGGCCTTTTGGCCGCACAACAACAAATAAGGGCAGCAGGTGTTCATTTGGAAACATGCAACTCCACTGAGAACCTATTGCATGTTCCATGTGGAAGGATGCAACGTCGTCATTGTGGTGAGCAGGGAATGAGAATTGGAATGACCCCGCGATAAGATAACCAACTGGGGGTTTCCTTTAAGGGGACCAATTCCTGGGTTCATTCCATTGTTCATTCCTTCCATTTGGTTAAGACCCCTGGGGAAAAATATTTCCAGCAGTGAAATCGATTCCCTTTAAAGCCAACAGGGGAAAATAAAACATATTCATTTCAGCACATGGAAGATGCCCTACCGCTTTCGCACCGATTGCAAGACCAGGGACACCTGGCATTCTTTGGGCCATGTCAGCTGAAACCAGCAGCAATTCTTCGCCGGAGGTGTCCTTTCCGGAATGTGAAAAACGGACCAGTTTCAAGGGCTATACACTTACCCCTTAAAACTCCAAGCCCTGGGGGAAGTTTTCATCTTTTACAGACATATAGCCCATGTTACCCAAAAAGTTGAGAACAGTTGTGTTTTTAAGAGGTAAGTACAGGTGTTTCTCCGAGAAACTCACGTATAGGTTCCAGACTTTCCAGGAAAACAATCATAGGACCTGCACGCCAGTCCCCTGTAAAAGAGAACTGGGCTACCACTTACATATAGGGGTCCTTCTGAGAAAATAGATGGCCCTGGTACTTGCTGGAAAGCAGCCAGCTTAACATTCGGAATCGCCACGATCTTTCACCAAACCAAGCAACCAGGACACCAATGCACTTCTCACTGTCTGACCCAAGTGGATTGGCCAAACACTGTTTGGACTTTGTACATACTCGTGAGACTGAACCTTGGTCTAGGTCCTCCAGTAGAAAGGTTAGAATAAGTTGGTGCCAACTGTTTTCTGTAACCTATTTTAGTCGGGAAAACCCTCCCAACCAAAAAAATGGGTTAAAAGTTGGCACCTAGCTGGGGGACCTAGAAATGGTGGACCTTTGAAACCAGTATTTACGGGGGGAAATCGTCATTGCAGGGTTTCTGAACGGTGAAGGATTCTCGAAACGGTGGACCCTCTTTGGGTTGGTGAAAAAAAAGCAAACTCCCGCGTCTTCTTCAAGCTGAGACCAGTCAGATCCCAGATCCCGCGTCCGGCGATTCGGGGCCCGGGCCCAGCTCGTCCTCAGGCTTGAACGGACAGCCCCAAACGTGTTGACGGGTGAACGTACAGTATACGTATATACAAACAAATGTGTATACATATATGACATATATGTATGAACACACATATATATATATATATATATATATATATATATATATATATTATACATGTATATTATGCTTTAAGTATCCCTGTAGAAGTATATGATATGTCTATATATATATACATATATATATATATATCATATATGTAATATTTATAGAGCCCACATACATATATCACTGACATCTACGCAGCGCAATCCGTGAAATTTGCGCCCATGGCGCCATTTTCTGAACGTGCGCCACGTCGACTCATGTCGGAGCGAGACCTCGGGTTATTAATCAACCCCAGGGCGTGGACCCAACAATGACTTGATCGCTCTCACAAAGATCTGCCGGGTCACCCTAAAAAATATGGGTGTGGCTCAAAATAAAAGACCTAGGGTTACGTATGTGTTTTAGTGTTCATTTCCATTTAGCAAAGTGCCACTGTTGCACGTTTTTTGAGCCACAGCCATATGCGCGCAAGGATGCTTCTCCTCACAATATCTGGTTGGACAAAACTGGGTCACCGTGATTCAAACACCAACTCTTCAAACTTTGCAACATGCCGAAACCTGTAAACAAAGGAATCCGCAAGCAAAGGATCTACGTCATAGCGAGCTCGTTTTCGCCCCGATCGGTGGCAGAGCCCTTGCAACCCGCTGGTTTGTTTTTACGGAGGAGCCATGTCGGTGGTAAACGATGGCAATACTCACGCCCGAACGAGTGGGTAGGCCTAAAGAAGCTTCAACTTTTGGTTTACCACTACCAGGAAACCCCAAAACCTCAACATATGTCACACCCCCAGAAGAAAAAGACGTTTCCACCAGGGCACGACAAACTGACAGGTTTTGAGTCTCGAGCTAATCCAAGCGGAAAAGTCCAGAGGACTCGAGTGAGACATTCATCGCGATGGATCACTTTCCGAAGGCTGAAGGGACCGATTTCTTTGGTGTATGGCTCAAGAAATAGGGATCTCACTTCCTGAGTGGATGGGCCAAAAAAAGTTCAAACTTTCTGTTCACCACTAAAATGGTCTTCCCAAAAAGTTTAAAGTCCAGGAACTCGGGGAGTGAGGGGGTTGTCCTGGTAAATGCATACAAGGAGTGTTGCTATTTTACTTGACTACCCATGTGAAAACCCAAAAGGTCCAATGCTATTCTTACTGGTCAAGTAAAGGGGTGTTGCTTGTCCTGGTGGTGTATTGGCACAATCCAATACCCATTCTTACTAGACAAGGGATGTTGCTATTTTACTTGACCCATACCCAATGTGAAAACCTAAAAGGTGCAAAACCGGGCCTTTGGATTCGGTCACCAAACATCTAAGGAAACCCCATGGAAGGATCATTGATAAACAAGCTTGTGATTATTTCCCCCGTTCCAAGCTTGTTGGTCGCGAGTCAGGAGGCTTAAGCGGCTTAGGGCACTTCACACCACCCCTGATCTTTATCACAGGAGAAGCAAATGGGACTTGGGCAGGCCCCAGTTCCTTTTCAACTGTTTCAACCCCAAATGGATTGAGAATGCTGGTCTTTGCAAAAAACAAGTTCCTACGATTACCCTCTACGGCAGATCGCAGGGTTTCTGTTTGCAAGATCAAACAGGTCGGGAATCAACCAAAGCCTCATTTGTGTCAAAAATAGGGATTCCCAAATGGAACCCTGGTAAATAGAAACATGGACTAAAACCTGCGGTCTGGCTGTTTAAGTTTGGACTATACCCATCTAGCTACACTCGGTCTGTTTTTGTTGGGTGGACCCTGTTTGGTTGGTGAAAGGAAAACCACCAGGAAACCAACTAACCCTTTTTGGATGGTTTGGCCGGTAAAGGGACAACCACCAGGAAACCAACCATTTTGTGGCACTTGTGGGTACAAAAAACGACACACCCAATGTTTTCAGGAAGCAACCCATTGAGGCACGCACCATCAAGGTCTGCTGCGTAGCACCTCGATTCGATGACCGATTCGTAGCTCGCGTAGCGTAGGAAGTGACAACGTCGATAGCCAAATGGAACTTGCCTCTGCGTGTCACCTGGACCATTCTTTGAATGCGTATATGTATTGCAGGTTCTGACATGTCTATTCTGACACGTCTAAGGCTCAGATACCAAGGAAAAGAAGGTACTGAATTAAGGCTCAGAGCACTCTCGCTTGAAAGACCCGCTTTTGCAAACAATATTACTAAACTTTGTGATGTCTGTGTTCGAATTGCCAAAGGATGCCTTGTGAACATCTGTATCACGGATTGCCGCATTGCCAACTCCGTTGCTTTTGACTACTGTAGTCTTCTGCAGCTACGCAAAGACTCCCCATGATCTGAGACTTCTTGCTCCAGAAATTAAGTTTGCGGAGCTTCACCTCACAACTCCCACTCAAAGTAAGTAAAGAGATTCGAGCAACGTACTGTGGATGGACGAAATCCATTTCGCACCTAAGAAACCAGGTTGAAACCATAACGTTTCTTGGTATCTACCAGGGGGAATCGAATCATTCCAGGGCTTCTTTGGCGGTGCGAAATGGATTTCATCCATCCACAGTAGCTCCATGGATACACCTCCTGGATGCAGTGGAGAATCCAAACTAAAGAATCCAGAGCCACGAGTCGCACGGGTTGTCCGAAAAGGCCGGAGATCCATGGAGAAAAATCGAAGAAGGCTCGAGGCAAAATAAGGCCTTCAAATTCAGTGACTCACAAACTCGGACTCTGAAACACACGAAGTAAATCTTTGGGCATATGGATGTGCCCATTCGTCCAGGGCAAGTGTGACGATAAACATGTCTGTAGTGGTATCAACGTGATCACCATACCTAAGGGTGAACATGTCACGCAAAGTTGATGAACAAGTCCCTACCGAGTATGTGGGTTTGTTGTAAAAAAGGGGGAATCCCAAAAATGGGTAGTTTCCTTTTGGTTTCTCCTTTAAGCCAACTCCACAAGGGTACCCTTGGAAACAAAGATGTGACTCATGAGAATGGCTGCTCCGGAGCCAACAGTTCGAATCTTGCCGCCGAGGCGCATCTGGGGTTTGAGCTATCATGGGACCAGTAGACGCGGTCCTCGTGACAGAGACGGCGGATCAACCGGAGGTATGGTTCCCACAGAGTGTCAAAGAGTACTGACCATAGGTGTCGTGTTGGAAAAATAGATGGCCCTGGCCTGGTCAATAGAGCAAAACCCATCTAAACCAGCGCCTTCTATTTTTAATCAAACTCACCTAAAAAGGACATGGTACTGAGTGCGGTAATGGGAAACCCCGGATGAATTCACTTGGCTTCTTCATCTGGGGCGGGATTCAATACTACGGGAAGGAAACACCACCTACCTGGAAGGGTTTGTTGGCTGCCCATTACCGAAAAAGGTGAGAAACAGTGTAAATTCACATGAAGCGAAGCGCATCCAAACCGTGCTGACTCGCCTGCCGAACTACATCCTCTGCTCATTGGGCCACTTCCTCATTTTCTCAGGTAGTTACATGTGTGTTCTGGGTGCCGTCTGCAAACACCGTACCCTTCGACTGCCCGGAACTTCATGGCTCACTTCAGCCAATGGAACAGGGGGGTTGGCCCATGTATCTTTTTATGAGCCCTGTTTGACCAACCCCACTATGCTTTCCTGCCCAAACATGTCCAAACTTTCTGCTCGATTGGACATGTCTTTTGAAAAACGCCCTGGGCAGGTTCACGGAACTGTGAGCTGTGAGTCACTGCAAGGCGCATAATCGAAATGCCGCTTGTCGACCATCACGTCGCCGCCTGAGACAAATCATTGGGCTGCTGTCCCGAGCTCGTACACTGCCCGGTAAGACTACAAGGACCGAAATAGGTAGAACGGGATTGGGGTAATGCTAACCCCGGATTAATAAACCCCTGCTTGATTAATACGGGGTGTCCCCTTTTAGTGGGGATTCATTCCTTTTTGGAGGGAACACACCCAATAATGGGACTGGTTTATTAATCCTGTGGTCAACATTGCTTTGAACCAAATTTGGTTCCGTGCTTATAGAAGTCAAGTATGCGTACTTGTTTAGCCCTTCACCACAAGAAGCTGGTAAGGGAAGGGGGAGCTTTCAGATGTGCCCTCGTCAGCAAAAACGCCGTTGAGGGACCATACCGCCAACTCGCGGTCTAGAGAGTGGGTGGGCGACACCGCGCTGTGGGAAAAGAAGGGCCCTTCGCGCGCCCGCGCGCGTGTGTGTGTGTGTGTGTGCGCGCGCGCGTGCGTGCGTGCGTGGGGTGCAAGGGGTGCGTGGGGTGCGTGGCGTCCGTGGGCTGAGTAAATTGCGTGGGTGCGTGCGCGCCTGCGTGGGGTGCGTGGGGTGCGTAGCATGCGTGGGGTGCGTGGGGTGCGTGGGGTGCGTGGGCTGAGTAGGGTGCGTGGGGTGCGCGGGGTGCGTGGGGTGCGTGTGTGCGTGTCTGTGTGTGTGTGTGTGCGAAGTGTGTGTGTGTGTGTGTGTGAAGTGTGCGTGTGAAGTGTGTGTGTGTGTGTGTGTGTGTGTGTGTGTGTGTGTGTGTGTGTGTGTGTGTGTGTGTGTGTGTGTGTGTGTGTGTGTGTGTGTGTGTGTGTGTGTGTGTGTGTGTGTGTGTGTGTGTGTGTGTGTGTGTGTGTGTGTGTGTGTGTGTGTGTGTGTGTGTGTGTGTGTGTGTGTGTGTGTGTGTGTGTGTGTGTGTGTGTGTGTGTGTGTGTGTGTGTGTGTGTGTGTGTGTGTGTGTGTGTGTGTGTGTGTGTGTGTGTGTGTGTGTGTGTGTGTGTGTGTGTGTGTGTGTGTGTGTGTGTGTGTGTGTGTGTGTGTGTGTGTGTGTGTGTGTGTGTGTGTGTGTGTGTGTGTGTGTGTGTGTGTGTGTGTGTGTGTGTGTGTGTGTGCGTGTCATTGAATAGAACCCACCTGAAATCACAGTGACCTAAAAGGACACCTATGCCTGTGCGCCACCTCCACCTTAAATACTCCCAAACGGAAGCGCGGCTCTGATTGGTACAAACATTGCCCAACATTGCCCAACAAGGCCTCACCGTAGACAAGGCAGTAGAGCCCCGAAACTAGGCGGCCCCAGCTCGGAAGACATCCCGCGCAATCTACACTCGCTCAGATTAACATGGAAGCTCCCAGAAGGCCTCTGTAAAAGGAGTCTTCCAAAGGGGTCCTGGGAGCTTTCACGTTGGCCTGGCGGAGGGTAGCCGTTCAGCTTCATGTTTCGCAGCCGATTGCAGACCACACTGCGAAATGGGAGGCAAGCCTTGCTGTTACAGGTGCTCTGGCGTGCTCAAATCAACCAGCGGTCGCGAAAACCTCGCAGAGCGCTTCAAACCAGTTGACACCAAACCAACCGGCATGCAATCACCAGCTCATAGATCTGCACTTCATGGCTTGCAAAACAACACCTGCGACAAGGGATTCCCAAGACAAGGCCCTTCATCATAGTGAGCTCGCTTTCCCTCCAGGGCGACCGTCGCAACAAAGGCAATGGATGACACGCCTGGGTGCCTGCAATCAAGCCTGCAGTTTGAGTCAGCAAAACCAAAGGAGTCTACCCAAAAGAATCATAGCAGCCACACCGACCTAGAGACTTGACAAGAACCCCTACCCTCCTACGTGGGGGCTCAATCTACAGTTTTGGGCAGGTGGTCTGCACCAAAACCCCTGGCCAACATCTCCCTCAACATTTCCACTATTTGGTACCATGTGACAGGCCCAAAAACTTGCCGGTTCTCAGTAGGACAGGGTTTTTGGGAATGAACCTAGGGATCCCCAAACAAAGATTACGAGGGATGCTTCAGTTCAGGGTCATTCCCTCATTTCCTGACGCAACCGGAACCTCTCAAATCCGATGTTTCCCGCACGAACCGCCCGGCCGTCGACCACGACTTGAGTGTCGTTGGGCATCTGGACCTGGGCGCCCCGAGAGTCGGGAAGTGGGTCCTTGCTGGTTTTTGATAGGCGGGGAATCGGCGGGGAATGACCGAGTTTCGGTTCTGGGAATGAAGCGTGTGGGCTAAAGGAAATACAGGAAACCAAGAGCACTTTATAGTTTTCCCCCACCCGACAGGAAGGGGTTGTTAGATTTTATGTTGAATCCGAGTTTGCGATGACACCACGCCCCCGTTTTGCTTAATGTCCAAAAGGGACGATGGGAATTTGGAGTCGAAGTCTCTAGGATGCGGGGGAATTTGTTGTAACGGTCGTAAGCTCGTGAGTGTGGAGGGTGGGGATTGCTCGAAGCCAAGTAATGTTCTTTTTTTCTTCCCATCTTTTTTCTCGGTTTTGGGAATAAAGGGAACCGTAGGTTGGATTGTTCAAAGTCAGTCCAACTCATTCCCTGCCTATCGAACCAGCAAGTGAGTGCCAAATTAAACTTCCCTCGGAACGGCTCAACAGCTAAGGTCCACCCCGCGCCTTCGGGAAATTCCAGTACATCCAAACAAGGTACCCCAACTAAAGACATTGCACCCCCCTTTTGGGGAATGCAGCCTTTTGGGCAGTTTTCGTCAACACCCCCCTCTTTTGGGCTTGGTTTTAAGCACTGGACAAAGAAAAGAAAACAAAGGCCCCAAAGACTTCGGCTTGAACCTCGCGCCCACCCTGAAAAAGGTTCAAAGGCGAATGCGGAGGGCTCAGATTCATATTTCCGCCTCCCCTTTTGCGAGCTCCGGACATTTGCCTCATCGGATTCGAACTCCATAGGTGCTTTGGCTGAAAAGGTCAAAATGAGCACATGGAGATGGATGTGCGAAAGCAAGCAGACCCAGCGGATTTATGTACCTGTTAAGAAGGCAACCAAGGGAACCACCCTTAAAAAAAAAAAGAACGCCTGGTCACCTGTGGCGAATCGGCACCGAGCGTGCAAAGACAAAACTTCACCTGGGTTCATATTTGCCCACAAGCTGAGAAAGCTCAAAACAAATCCTCGAAGGCTGCACATGTGCCAGGGTGTAGACTCACTTGCCAGGACCTAGAAACAAAAATTGACCTTTGGGAATCTTGACTAACTCATGCTGACCCAGGATCTAAGTAGAACCCGTCCCGTTATTAGGGGGGTGGAAACCCCTCCAAGAGTGGTCTGAATCCCCACTAAAAGGGGACCCCACTATTAATCAACCATATCCGGGGTAACCTTACGGATCAAATCAAGGAGGCAAGTGAGTAGAACCAACGGCGCACACTTCTCGGCAGAAATTGTCTCTGTCAGCACAAACTGGCAATATATCCTGGGCTCAAGGACCTTCATCGATCATTTGACTCGCAATCGCTCAACTCACGTGCCCCTTAGGGACCTGATTTGTTTTCTTCACCTTTTGGGACCTTTACTAAAAGTGGACCAAAAAGGGAAAACCAAAGAACTCACAAAGGCCCAGGGCCAACCGGATCTGACCCTTTGGTTCCCAAATTTGGTCCATATTTAGACAAGATTCTCCAAAAGCTAGCCTTTGTTTCTACATCCTTTGGCAAATAAAAAAGGTTGAAAGGTCGGCTTTGAACACCTGAGCGAATTTGCAGAGGCATACTGCTGAGACCACTGCGCAGCATATCTCTCCGTGCTCGCGCGGAAGAAACGGACGCAGGCGAATACCTTGGCAACAAGTCTTTGCCCTGTGGGCAATTTGAGGGCGAGCACCCCGATTGGGGCTAAAACGGATCGGCCAGAAAAAGTGGACACTCTATGTTTACAGCTAAAATGGTATTCCCACAAAGTATCAAGTCCAGGAACTCGGGGAGTAAGAAGCATGATGTAGAATCTTTACTTTGGGATCCCCTTAAGGTACAGGTTGTTAATTATTCCCGATCTAAGTCATAGCAATTGCCCAAGACAAGACCTGGACAGAATGGGATCCGCCTATACTTAAAATTGAACACTGAAAGAACCCAACACTTGGAGTCGACAAATGACTTGTTGCCGCGAGAGAGCAATAAACATTCCAACCGCGTGACCTGTTGATGGGTAAACCCTCAGTTTTTCTTCAACCCTTTTGCCCCTTTGTCCAACCCAGAGTTACTAGCCGTGACCCTTTACATGTAGAAACAACTAGGGCAAAACCCCGCGACAGTCGGGCAAAAGGTCACAGTTCCACCAAATGGGATTGAATCCAACCATAGGCTGCTCTAAAACGAGACGTTTCAGGGCAAAACCACTCAAGAGCGAGAACCCTTGGAACAGTTGAAACCAAAGTGAAACCTACCCCCGCACGAAAGCCAAGGCTGGATTCCCTTGGGCAACTGACCGCCCTTAGCAAATACACGATAAGACGCGTTCAAGTGTCCCTGAAATTGGTACCTGCTCTCAGGATTCTACTTGTTTCAAGCCCTTAGTTGCCAAAACACGAACAACCCACGCCCGGAATCATTTGTGCCGAAGTTAATGACCAGGAAGTGCCATTCTCAGAGGGAAAAGCCGTTAACTTTCGGTGCTGTCGACTTCAGGCTAACATTTGCGGGTTCCGGAGTCCTTTTTTTGGGGTTCGGAACCCATTCTCCCAGCAGGCCTCCCTGCACGCGAACCCAGCTTGCAACATGTGAAGGGAAGACTGGCGCAATCCGGAAATCGTCTTGGACAGTTCCACTGGTCACAAGTTTGCAGGCTCGGTGCTTGGGGAGGCCATTTGAGATCCCTTATCTGGTAAGCCAGGGCTCCCCCCTCTAACACCCCTACATATATACATGCTACCCTCCCGCCCAAACTGACCTTTTCTATCTGTGGAGGAATGAAAAGACAAAGCAAAGGATGGGACTCTTCTTGGCATAACATTAAATCCTAAGAAAAAATGCCTTGGGCAAAAGGCAAGGACAAAATGCAATACATAATAATTACAATGATCAAGAGAGAGTGTGCATGAGGATGAAAGCTATAAGTTCTTAGTACCAACAACATGTTCTCCATTAGATAGCATGTCTAGTCAAAGAAAGACCAACATGAAGATGTGCTACAACATAAACTGTATCATGTGAACCTAGATCCACTGCTGATTGCAATGGAACATATGAATGAAGTAATGAAACAAACATCAAAAACAACGGCTTCCAGTGGAAGAATGAAGAATGTCTCCAGCTACCTTTCCCTCAGGGAGGCCTGGTTCTGTTCGCTTTGTTCGTTTCTGTTAGCGTTGTGTTCTTCGATTTCCAGCTACCTTTTCCTCAGAGAGACAGGTTTTTCGTTTTGTTCGGTTTTTGAGGGTTTGTCCAGAGCATGCACCATCCAAAGTACGTGTCCTTGGGTTTCCCTTGTTGTGGCGTGTTTTTTCAGACCTGTAAAAGAAGTTTAATTCAAAAGAAGTGGATAATGGTGGATAAAATGTCCATCCTGTACCACCTCCAAGTTATATCAAAGAAAGGAATAGAAGAACATATGGCCGGCAAGTAGTCATGATAGCACAAGCTTTGACTCTAAAATATACCACTCGTGGAGATCAAGATCGGTGCCATATAACTTCCATATCATGCTCATGTTATTGAAGTTCCGATTTTCTGGAGACGTAATTGTATTTCCTGATTAATATAAACGTTATCCTTGTAAGGACTCATATTATGAGTTTACCGAGATTCCAAAGATGATTCCAGGTAATAACAATAATAATAAACAAATCGTAAGCCTTTGTGATTACAATTGTCAACTAGATAACAAAGTAATATAGTAAAATATCAAAATAGAAAGGCTGAAATCAGTGGACATACCAATGATTTCTGAATTCTGCAAAAAGGCAGTGTTCTGCTTTTTGGGGGTGTTCCATACATGTATATATATATATATATATCTATATCATGCACATGTGTATATATATATACACATTGGTTTAATGTGTTATTCACATGATCACATGAACGCATGAAGGTAGAATACATGACCCAAACATAAAAAGCAAACAACAGCCATCAAAAGCAATCACGTTTTCGTAAATTCAGATCAAGTGCCCTGAAACTTCACTGGGATCTCAATTCAGTTCTATTAGACTTCTCCACATGGGTGGGTGCCCTGTACTCTTTTCGTTCGGGAAATCAAGCGGGAATGGAACAATCAGGAGCTTGCACATCCTCTTTGAGGACAAGCCCGAATTTGCATTCCCGCGCATCTTTGACTTTCCCTTGTAGAGTTTACACAACCTTTTCAAAAGCACATCCACTTGCAGGACCCCAAGGGCTATCAAATGGCTTGTAAAGTGACCTCCTTTGGATCATCTTGGGGGCGACTTCACCGGGGCCTGGAGCCAACCCTCGGCGAGGTGCAGACTTTGATATTCCCCGCCGTGGGGACGATGGTCTTCCGCTTGGACATGGCGGAGCCCAGCGAGGCGGATGATGCACCGATGCCACGAAGGTAGCTTCAAGGCAGGCCTTACTTACCCCTTAAAACTCCAAGCCCTGGGGAAGTTAATCTTTTACAGACATATAGCCCATGTTACCCACAAAGTTGAAAAGTTGTGTTTTTAAGAGGTAAGCTTAAGACACTTTAAGACTTGAGGCAAGTTGAGGCACTCGAAGCCACATCAGGAAGTGTTCAAGGATCTGGGGTTTCCATAGCTCAGATGTTGACCCCCTCTCTATGCTGTCTGTTGGAAACGAGCTGTGCAGCTGTAAGAAAAACACAATCAGCTGGCCGGCGCGGGCGAAATCCACCGGTTGCCACAGGACCGGTCTCCATCCAACAGCTGGGCATGGAAGACGCAGACGGATCTGCAGCTGGGTATGGGTCAAAATTCAACCAGGAATTGGACCGCAGGATTGAATGTCCATGTTTCCACTTACCCGGATTCCATCTTGGGGTTACAGTACCTTCTTTTTTTTGACCACCACAGCCATATGGTTTCCAACTCCCGCGCAGAAAGGTGGTTCTGGTTGACAAACCTCTGTGATCACGTGGCTCATTCCTGTGACTTGGGCATGTTGGGGATTTCTTCACAACCGTAAAAACAAAAGATTTCAAAGGTGTCACTGAACTGAGCCATATAAACTCGGTTGACGTTGGAAAGGGCAGCAACAATTCTCAAATTTTAGCAGTTAAGTGGGAATTTCAACCACTAAACCAAAATAAGCAAAAATGTAACAAGTTTCCCAACAACAACCATGTAGAAGTGTTTAAAGTGAAAAAACCGCCAAACCAGGTGGTTCCCCTCGCACATCCGGACCGCACAAGCCCAAAAGGAATCGGGCCAAGTCTTTCAAAGATGGCTCAACTATTGTTCAGCACCTCTTGTTGGTTTGTATTCTTGGCCCGCACCTGGTGTAATTACACAGAAACATATATTTCCAGATTCCCTTAAACATGCTTCGTTCCGTCGACGTAGTCTTTGGATCGGAGACCCCAAAAGGACCTGGCGTGTGGAACACAGGTTACCAATCCTGCCAAGGGGCACCCTTGACTTTGTCGCCTCAGTGCATTGGCCCCAAATCTAAGCCTTCTGTTTGCCACCGAGATGGGTGTTCTCAAAAGTATCAACCTGAATTTTCAATCTACCCTGAAAAAAGGGATCCCCCCATGTGTTGGGGCAATATCTCCTTTTTACCGGTGGCTTGAGAGTCCACAAAGTCCAGCAATCTCGAGAAACTCGAAAAAGAGGGCCCAAACGACCAACCTAGCCACACGGAACAGGACCCTTGTGGAACATGGTCCAACTGGCAAGGTGAATGGCTTCGAGAAGCCGACGGAAACACCAAACAGTTTGGGGGTCCGATTTCAACGACCCAACTGGTGCATCTGTTTGCGAGTTTTCAGAGGAAACCAAAAGGAAAACGACCCTTTTTTGGGGGCTTTGTGCTGTTTTCCAGGGGAAGCCAAAAAGCAAAAAAACATGTTGAGGGCTCCAAATCCTAAAACAAAGGACACACAACCAACATAGACACAGCCCAGCTCTTGCAACTGCGCACTGCCTTCAACACGCCAGCGCCTGCGCGTTGCTTTCGAGCCAGGCCTTGGGGATGTACCTCGCGGGAGACGGGTCATGATAGCTGTGGATGGAAAAGTGAAAAATCCGCTTCTCACACAACGAAATGAAACCATCGCTGAAACCAGAACTAGGTCCCCCAGATTTGAGAGGTTCGAGTACCCTTTTTTTTCTGCAGTCTATTTTAGTCTGGGAACCCTCTCCAAAAAAAGGGGTAAGAGGGCACTACTGGGGGACCTAGAAAAAATTGGTATCTACCAGGGGGAATCGAATCAACATGAAGGCATGCTTGAAACTCGAAAGTGTGGCTGGTGTTTCCGTTGGGGAATCGAATCATTCCGTTGGGTTTCGGAACGGTGCTGCGAAATCATTCGTGCATCCACAGTGTGCTTTTTAGGTTTGTTTCGCTCCACCTTGTTTAGGCGGGTGTTATTCTATGCATCACCAGGGCCACCTATTTTGCCACAAGGTCACCTTTGCGCATGATCATGAGAGAATCATGTTTGCAGCTAAAGCATAACAACCTATAAAACGCGACATTTTGATGCCCCTCTGCCCCTCTCTGCAACGCAGGACGCTGCATCTATTTTGCCGCTCAGGAAGCACAGAGAAAGCGCACAGGCGACTATGGTTGGGTGAAAGTAGATGGCATTGTTTGGGAGCCAATGTATTGAAATGCAATTTGTGATGCAAAGGACTTGCCTTTTGATTTCACCCACAAACTTTCACTCAACTCTCCTACCGGGGTCAGGCTGCCAGCATCTGGTGTTGAAGCCGGATGCCGTCCGGAACACCGGCTACGGAACCTTTTGCACAATGCCGAAGGCGCTTCAGCCGCTTCCCGACTTGGCCTACATCTGGGATAGACTGAACATAACACGGCCGTGGGTCAAAACCAATGGTACCATTTTGGGGTAGGTGCACAGGGATCCTTACATTATACACCTGAACATTGCCTTGTAAATGGAGGTGTCCCTTTATTTTGGTGGAAAAAAACATGTTTCAAATCGGCAAAATGTATCTTTTAAGGAGCCCTGGTGCACCACCCATTTTAGTCTATTTTAGTGGGGATTGGGATGTTGACTGGGGGTACGGGATTTTGACCCATGGCCACATGTTCAGAATATGGTTCAAGGTGTGTCTACCCTGCAATCTAAAATAGCTTGCCAGAAAAATGATATCCCTCACCGGTATGAAAGTTTAGAAATTGGAAAAGTGAGGCAGCCTTTCTCATGTTGGAGTTTTTATCTAGACCTGCGTCGTGCAGGTGTGACTGGTTCGGGATAAACACAAAAACGCACATCTGCGCCGCCAAAAAAAGGCCGACCCCAATAGACGGCCTGCACATGTCCCCTTGAAACATCGCTCTACCAAAAAAAAGAGAACGGTTTTACAATAACCTGAGAGCTGACGCTTGGACCCCAAACAGAGTCCGGCAGCTGTGGCCGAAAGGAACGACAGCTCTCCCTACATTTCGAAACTCATCTAAACGTGGCCCAAAAGGTGATCTTACACTCAGCTGAAAAGGGATACCTTGATATATGTATGTGTGTATGTATATATATATATATATAGACATGGGGCTGTGTTTTTGAGAGTGCTTCTTTATCAGTGGTTTTGAGAGGAAACCGAAAGGAACACCGCGCTTGGTGGGGTGTCACCTAAAAACACCCACACACACACACACCCACACCCAATTACAGACCTGAACGACCCTCTTCAACTGGGAGAACTGAACTGAAGCATCCCCGGCCTTTTGGCCCATTGAGAGCCAAATGAAATACAACGGAGCACGCAATGCTCCCTCCGACTCCAAATGCCCACTCTTTCTTGGGTACACCCTCCTGTCCACGTACATGAAACTTGACATCTCGGGGTCCTGGACGGCTATTTGCCCAAAAAAAAAGCCTGTGGCGGGTTCCGTGTTAGTGGACAGGCGGGTAGCTGGGCAAATCCTTTTTTGAGGGTATCCCTTTCGGGTCGCTCTAAATGAAAACTGAAGGAGCCACAATAATCTCAAGAGTCCCCTATTTTACGACACCCCCATTGCGAAACACCTGGCGTTCAGCGTTCAATACTTGTTTTGACTGTCGGGGTGAAATGAAAAGAAACAGTGGGTATTTGGAGTAGGAGCTTTTTTAATAAGTGTGTTCTGCGCAATCGTGGCAGCTGATATCAGGCAAACAGCACTGGCACATCTCTTTCGACTTTGCATCTTGTAACGGGATCGGCCTGAACTCTAAACCTCTAAACTCTGAGGGCATGGCTATCAGCCGCCAACAAAAAGAAACACGCACTTTGACTTTTTGTTTATGATATCCTTTTGAAACCATCCCAAGAAATACGAAAATAGGGAAGCCGGGTGGAGTGGGTCTGAGATTTGCCAAAGTCTCTTGAACTCTTGAGGGACTAGAACTTGCTTTTTGCAGAATCCCCTGATACCTTTCCCACGGCCAGATCACTTTACAGGGGGGCCTTATCACAGAAATCTACCATCTAGAACCTATACATCCCGAAACCATGAACTGAAAGATATCGGTTGCTGTCCCCTCTGCAAAAAGTGAATTACTTTTGGTGGGTCCAATATGGAAAATTTCGACCTGTTTCTCAACAAACAAATTAAAGTCCAGAGATCCAACATGATCCAACGAGTAGCCATAAAGAAATGGGCCAACCACCACAGATCTGCCCCTATGTCAAGGCGGGGTGTCCTGAAACTTGGAACCCGCGTCGAGCATGCAGCGACCCAGCAATCCAACCATTTCATTTGATCCCCTACTTGACCTTCAAACTACCACCCATTTTATGACAACAAGGTCAATTAAGTCCGGCAATAGGCTTGTTTGGGACTGAGGTGGGTGGGAATCCCCTCTTTTCGTGTGGTTTAAAAGGGACACTAACGGGACACCAGGCTTGCGAGACCCCAGACTCTGAGAGCCCAGGTCTGGTTGCTCTTTGCCCTTGAACTCACGTGCTCTCACTATGCTCAGGCGCAGCCAGGGCCGCCCTCGAAGGAAAAGGTCAGTTCAAAGAGCTGTGTGTTAAAAAGACGCAAGCGCGCTTCCTCAACAGCCCGCATTGCCAACTCCCAGATCTTATAGGTTAAACATGTTAAACATAATGCCCATCATGTTGGACGCAGGTGTAAGATTGTACCACTGAATGCACTCTCTGACTGCTGACTGCTTGCGTCAACCCGCAAGAGTTCTGCCAAGCGAAGGCCGGTCGCGCAGGGCTTCCTTCGGGCCTTGGAGTGGGTCCTATTCTTTTTGGAGGCCCCTGGCAACTATTTGGAATTGAACATCGTCATGTCTCCAGGCATCTCTACAATAAGCTTGACAAAAGGTGTACCCAAAAAAAGCAACGATCCCAATTCCAGTCTAAATATTCTGTCATTGCTGCTGAGTACACTGGCGACATCCTAGTTTCACGGTTACATTCCAAGGCTACTGCGTCTGGAATCCTCCAAAGGCATTATGATCGGCTGTATGGACCTCCTGTTTGGCAAAGGGGACCTCACGTTCAACAAGGCGGTTTGTCTCAAATACGGACCCCGCAAAAAACAATCATGGCATCCTTTTGGGTTTCTTCTAAACAATTCACAAAGGGTAGCCTCCAAACAAGCCACGCCCCTTGGGCAAGACAAGGTATGTGAGTGTAGATAAAGGCGCACAGCTTGGTCAAGCAATCATGATCAGTTTCAACTTGCAGCCCATAGCACCTCGAAACAGGTGGGCGAAGACAAAGCGCACTGAGGATAAGTGGGCTGTGCTCAGACCTGCTAAACGCCTAACTGCTCGTGGGTTAAATTTGGACCCCCCTTTCCATGAAACCAACTAAAATCCCATGAAAACCAAAACAGCCTAATAAGGAACCGGACGGCTGGGAACCGCCGAGAAAATACTTCACCAACCGAAAATAAGAAATGCAGCCCCAAGCAAGGAAACGTTCACTTGTGTTGTGACGTCGGGCCCCTGGAAAGGTGTCGCCCGGTTTTTGTTGGCCCACACGCAAGACAGTCCCAACCGAAACCAAACAAATGAAGTTCCCACATAGGCGTCCCAGCTATGGTGGGCTTGCTCTTGCTGCTTCCTTTGTCTAGATGAAGGGATGTGATAGAACTGGGTGCTAAACAGGGGTCTGAAAACTATTGAATTTTGCGCATCCCCTTTTGGTGACCTGGGGACATTAATTTGACATGGTGCATTTAGCACCCAAATAGATCAAACAGGATAGAATCTGCATAGTTGTGGCTTGTAATCATGACTCAAGCACGAGGTCTCCCCCAACAGGATGCCGCCCACAGCCGATGGACGAAATTTATGTTGCACCCCAACAAGAAACCCTGGAATGACTCGGTTCTCCTGCAAATGCCAACACACACTATGGTCCATTGTGGTTTCACCCATGGTTTCATTTTGTGGTGCGACCGGATCTCGCAACCATCCAGAGTCTTGTTTGCTTAGGCTCCGAACAAGAGGAAGGGCGGTTCCAAGAAAACAGGTTCCATGTCTGTTTCTTGGAAAAGGATGGTGCCAAACTGAATCCAGTGGAAACACATCTGTCTTCAACTGACCTGAAGGATGCGTATGCCTTGCGAAATTGTACAAGGTGAAGGTACTCGGGCACATTGTCCTCTGAACCGACACGGAATTGTGGATCTAATCTGGGTGAACTATAATATTTTACCAACCTGAAAGAAGGTGGTTGGGGGGATATTCCCCACATGAACCACCATTTGGGGTGAGGTCGTGTGAGGTCGTTGCTATTCACTCAGATTTAATCTCACGTCAACAGAATATCCGCCTCTGGATCACGGTCCGGGTCCCAGCGCAGCCTCGAGCAAAGCGCGCAAGGCTCCAAAAGGGGTTCTTAGAAGGCTTCTCATCGAAGCTTTGTGAGTAGGGCCCGAAAAAACTTGCATTGACTTGCTGGTTCGATAGAGAGAAAGAGAAATGGAATGACCCCAAAAACAACCGTCCCCTATGGGTTCCTTTTACGGAATCCGTAGCTTCATTCTAATGAGAAATGGAATGACTC